CATGCATTCGACCAAAGCCAAGACCGCGTGCAACTGTTCTTCCATAGGAATGCTGTGTAAGCACCAAGCAATGGTGATTGTTTCCATGGCAAATAGAACGCTCAGACGTCGGGAATACAGACAGCATTGATGCAGCATCGATGTCCACTGCTGCATCAAGTCTGTTGTACTGCTAAGCTAATTTTACTTTGGGCCTCGTGCATCAATACCCCGTTAGCATCCATGACTTTGACGCCATTGGCGGTTTCAGGTTGCAGCATCTTACATTCCATTGTCGCCAACAGCATCAAGCCCACAGTTGCTGTTGCGTATAGGACATGGGCACATGGGCATTGCTGCAACACTGCTTTGCAGTGTATTAGCAAGCTCGCTGCGGCAAAACACATCAATGGTGCATCGACACCATCCCTATTTCTGAGTCGGGTCAGTGACTCTTGGCTGAACGCAGAGCTGTTGATCCACAGCTGCGTCGGGCTCTTTATTTGCATGAACAACACAACAAGTGCAATGAACCAGAGCACATCCCTTTGATTTAGCATAACATATTCTGAACTCAGCAAATCCTCGCTATCTAGTCACCACAAACTGAGGAATGTGTGTAATGCAGAAGATGGTACCAAGTCTGTGTTATCATTAGTCAAATGCACAAGGGACCGTCCACCCAACATGGAAATACCGCATCCTTTCGCAACTCTCATTTTCGCTTCATTCAATGGTACACAGCTTGACGGCTTCGCCATGAAGGCATGCACAGAGCCGCAAATTCACCAGTGAAGAAATAACTTGCTGTTGTGTATTTGCACTGCGCTACTTTAAAGACTGTGTATTGCGCGGTCCCTAGTGAAGCTCGGGGTCTGCTTGTGGACAGGCAACTTTTCAATTCTATCCATGCCACTCGCTGCCGAATTAGGCACACCAGTTTTGGCGGTGCTGTGTCATCTGATTTATGGCCATCGTCTAAAGAACAAGATGGGCCAAAACTGGTCATTGGTAGTTCTTCATTCCTTACTAACGTGCACATGCAGAAACCTATTGGCTGTGAGCATACATACCGCGTCCAATTTCGTCTGAGCGTTGGTGTTGTCAGAGGCACCCTGCATTTGCAATAGACTCTTCTTAACCACATGATACTGCACAGAATTCAGCCATGGTCAGCTGGCAACGTAAATTTCTCCAGATATGCCATGTGCAACTCCTTCCATCCCATGTACCAAGTGCGGAGTCAATCATACTATCTGCGATACTTGTGTGCAACAGTCTTGCCAGGTCCCAGTAAACTACAACCCACTTGGCAGTGGCATTGCGCTTCTTGCAGCATGAAACTGAATCAAATATTCAAAAGAGTGTAGATCTCACCTCTGTTGCTGCCACTTCCTCATCCTGAAGCATCTTTCGCATGCCAACATGTTGACCACCAGTTACTTCCATAGCTAATGCACCTGAGCAACAAAAATAAATGAAATTGAACAACTTGCACTTGCATGTTTCAGCCATTAAGCCATCCCTCTGTCCATAAATGACAGTGCCAACCAGTTGATGCCCTGCATTTCTCATAATTATTCCCATATTAAGTTGATGCCATGGTGTTCCTGATTCATATTGTCCATGATGAAGAAATCGCTTATTAGCAGACAAGTTTTCACAACCTGACGATCTTTCAAGTGATGGATATGCATTTGGCCATGAACATGAGCTACTGTCCCATCCAGCACCTGCAACACATCTTTCTGCAATTGCTGCAGTGCTCTTGCATTCGCAGGGCTGCTTTCTTGCAAAAAGGACGAGCACAGAGTCTTTTTGGCGAGTTGGCAATGGATCATGCACAACTGTGAGAGTTGTAGTCCTGAGCCACCACTGACAGTTTGTATGTCGCTGAGCACTAGCAATTGCAGAAGCAGATTTTCTCAAGCTGCCCTGTGCTGTGCAGCCATGGAAGATGGAGCAAGTGACACAAAGTGTCTGCAATTGATCAAACAACGTCCATTTTTGCGCATGCAAGGAACAGAACAGACATAGGACAGAAGTGTCCACTTTTCTGCCTTGTGTCCTCAAGTGTTCTGTGCATTTTCCCAACCTGCACAACCGTGTGGCATTGGCACCCACATGTTGAAGCATGCTTGCAATAGGTTTGGGCAGCTGAATCATCTGCACAATATAATTTAGTGTTCTTGGGTTCGTACGCGATCTGCCAAGACACTGTTTGCCCCTGCTGCCCCTTAGTTCCAGTTCAAGAGAGGCACCTCAGTGCTGTTACTTGTAATCTTGCTGACACTGTCAACTACCACGGCATAAAATGCCTGCGCCCCTCTGCAATGCATGTACGTCAGAGTGACCGAAGCGCCCTCCCTCTGGCAACCGTCTCACAGCAGCACCCACTCCCTGGGCCCCCTTTCTCAATCCCGACCAACAGCCTCTGCCACCTCCAAGACTGCTCCCTGCTCAGGTGACCTGCATCGGCCAAAGCCGCTTCAGCAGTGCGACCAGGCTTGGCAAACAACTGGCTGCCCCGTGCGCTTGCCTTTGATCATCCCTCAAAAGAAAATGCTCCACATATCATCGAAATAAGGGAAACGGCGCAACATCTGACGGTAGGGCGAGCACCCGGCGCCCTTGGGTGTTGGCTGCTGGAAATGCAAGCTTCTTGGACTTGTGCGACAGGTGCTGGAGCCGCTCTCTGGGGCTCGGAGTGGCGACGTTGCCCAGGAGCCATCGATCTAATGGTGTGCAGCAGGGCGCCACCGGCCCTGCATGCGGGAAGGCTGCTGCTTCCCATCCTGGTGGCGACGGCAAGGGAATTCCGGAACAGGTGATAAGCTTGCACCCGGCAACCTCGGACAGCACCGGGGCCCTCACCTTTGGGACTGTGGGAGCATGGCCCCAACGCTGCGGCCAGCAGCAGGACGGGGAGCAAGGCGATGGGCAGTCGGCGGCCCTGCATCTTTCCCTTCTCCTGCAGGCCAAGACGGGGCAAGTCAGCGACCCTCTGCTTGGTCTTAGGAGGAAAGGCCAAGGGCTTTCCCAACGTTAGAACCGCGAGGAGGATAACTGACCGACCGAAGCGACCGCAACTTGTTGCCGCCCTCCCGCTGCGCACATACCTCCACGCGGCTCCGCACGCGCTGCCCGCAGCCTATTCTCCTCTTCCTCTACCCCCGTCCCGCTCTCCGCGCTCCCCTTCGCTGTGCTCCTATCATGTCAAGCCACAACGATAATGCAGGAATAATGCACAAGTGGAAGTCCGACACTGGCCGACACTGGTGTCGACAGGAAGCTCTCCTCTTCTGCTGTTGAGGATAAAATAGGAGGTATGCCAGCAGTGACCACGCTGAACTGGATGTGTCACTTATGATTGTGTTCGCAGGAATGAGCAATGTCCGACGCCTGATGCACTTGCGTGTGACGCTCCTGAATGTGCATCAATAGAAACTAAAACTGGCAACTTTTATGAGAGTTGCCGATTTCTTGCAGTTTTGGTTGCTTGTAGGGATCACGTTCCACCAGGCCTGAGTTTGAGACGTTTGGATTCCAGATTAAACACTGAACATACAACGGAGCAAGCTGAGCCAAAACTGACAGCTTCTTAAGTTGAAACTTGGTACATGGTTCATGGCTTGAACCGCTGGAGAGAGTTTGATCTCCAGTCAGTGATTCCCACTGCTGGCGCCGATATTCTGGGATACTGTGCGAAGCGTTTCTATTGTGTTTTGATGTGACATTCATGTGCCCTGCACACCACACGTCTCCTTACCCTCCGTTCCATAAGCTGGCGTCACGTCACACATCTTGATTGGAATGCTTACCACCGTAGCGTCACGTGATAAGTCGAGTTAACCAGAGCACAGTGCGCGTTTGTGCGCATGAGTTTTAGAACGTACTCACACGCATGGATTTCTGTGCGCTGCTCTTCGCAATCCAGTGCATTCTTTGGCATTCCGATTGCAGTTCACTGATCGGGTTTCTCTTAAACATTGCTCAGGTGCGACGTGCCTAAATTGCAATAGCGTGTACTTTTTGCCGCCTTCCCGGCAAGGTGAACAGTTAAGCTGTCAAAGAAACATCAAAAAAGGAATGAAAAATTCGTAATCTGGCAGGGCATCTCAAATTTTCGCGTGGACCCTTAAAAATAATGAGGCTTTTTCACGGGTATGGATCTACGGCATTTCTCCAAACATTTGTAGAAATCGATGATAAAACCGAGGATCCGAAATGGCTTATTTGTGCAGGTTTTTCCATTGTGAGCAAAAACTTGTGGCAATTTTCAAGACTTGCAGTTGGAGGTTTAACTTTGGCGCATTTACGGGTATGTATCTAATTTGAACAACACGGTAGAAGGCTAAGTGCCAAAACGCTCACTGTTCTTGATGACGACCGATCACGAATGGATTTCAAGTTCATTTCCATTCAGCTTTGGGAACAGCCTTGTACCGTACTGTGCTAAAAATACACAGGTTCACACAAGCATAAGCCTAATGCATAAAGCTACAACTACCAAATAATACAATAATTGGAAGTTACAACTACCAAAGAGACCTACCGTTGCAAAAAGCAGGACTCCCAACAAAAGCGGGCAGCCGTCCAAATCGTCACCGACCGCCACACACAGGGCACCAGCACCCACAACTGCGTTTTCACAAACAATGTGGTTCGCGCGCCTCCAGCGAGTCCGAAAACGTTGTTATCCCATCGACATCCCGGAGGGGACGCGGTCACGTGCACCCCGCTGCACGGGAAGCAAGCAGACGCGCGTACAGCAACAGTACTGCGCCTGAATACCGGGCGGTCCTGGCCCCCCAATAGATTGGCGCGTAGGTACAGGATGACAAACGACCGCTCAAGGCGCGGCCATTGGCCATCTGCCAGCGCCGGGGTCCCTCCTCGACCGGCCGCGCTCTGCTTGCAGCTTCTCGTCCCCGCGGCTCCCTATGGGCCGCCATGGTGCGGCGGCGAGGCGCCTGACTGCCTCCCCAGGCCACTGACGCGGAGCGCGTGAAGCGGGCGCCATGCTGAGGATCTTAATCCTGGCTCTCGTTGCTTCCCAAGGTGGGGCGTTCGCCTCAGCAGGGGACCCGCCGAGCCGGATGAGCGCGGGGTGGCTCTGAGCGGTCCTGGGCCTGTCGCCGCATGGCTGGCGTGAGCCGCGGCTGATTCGGGGTCCTTGGCCTCACGTTGGCCTTCCGCGCTGCGTCGGTCTGCGAGCGTGTGGGATCCTTTCTATGGCGACCGTTTCGATTCTACTTCCGGCCGCAATGCGCGGGGGGGGAGAGGGCTGGAGTGTGGACGCGGGTGGGCGGGCTGGGGTTTTCCGCGCCGGGAGAGGACAGAACTTTGACGGGGGAGTGGATGAAAGGTGTGCGGGTTGAGTGTGAATTGGAGTGCGAAGGGCTGAGATGTTGGGTGGCATGTGGCGGCGGAGGCGCACGCGGCGGAGGCGCTGTGCAGGCGCGCTTGACGCGCGGCGCCCTTTGCTGACGGGAGGTGTCGGCGGGGACGCCTCGCCATACTGCGCCGGCCGTGGCGCGCCCATTTCGCCCCTGCGTCCAACATTTTCAGTCATGGCGCGGTGTGGGCGCCCTCATCAGGGCATGACTGAATGGCGTGATCCTTTCTCAGGACGGCCCCCGTTTGGCTGCAGGATCAATGTGCATGCAATTTGGGTCGATTGAGTCATTGGCATGGATGCAGGGGGGCGCGTGGGGTTGTACGGGGTTGGTCGGCTTGTCGGTAACCGCGGACTCTGGTGCCGGAAAGCCCTCTTTTGCATTGAGGGGAGTTGGAGCGTCCCGACAAAGGGACGTGTATTTGTCAATATCTTGGGGCATCCAAGATGATATTGATATCCCAGTCCATAACCTCTGCGATATCCAGGATGCGGCCAAGGATACGTGATTTTCCCAACCGAGGGGCATTCATGGACAATTTGGGATGCAGTGCTAGACCGGGTGCACCATCATGCCCCGAGGTGACAAGGTCGCCTGCGTACCTGGCCATAATGCTCGTTGTCCATGTCACCGTCAAGTCTTGATTGTCCTTGGCTCGACCCAGGGTCTCGGAGTCCAACGCCGATGCGCAAGTACAGCACAGCATTAGGGCGCTCTGGCGATAGAGTGGAACTGTGGCACATATTCTGCTACTTTCTTGTTGGCAATGTAGTTGCTGCCCCTTGCACAATTTGGCCTTTGTTTGGACAATTTGCCCAGCTGCGTGTGCGCCCCAACCAGCGGAAAGATATGGCACGTGAAGATAAGATCGTTGTTTTGCTTTCATTCCAGTGTATGCATTTATACTGCCCGAATGATTCAGGAATTGCACAAATTGATGTTTAGTTTCTGTGCTCAGGTGTTCGTGCTGCATGGGTGGAGGATAGATACGCCAGGCCCAGTGGTGCCCGGCGCCTATCGCAGGAACTTGCCAACAGAAAGGTGTGCACACGCAACAGAAAAAGCAGGTTCGAAAGTTCATACGCTGGCAGGCGACCTTGTGTGTCATGCTTCACCATGTTTGCTTCTGGGAAAAGGTTCCTTCGTTTGACTGGCCTGCTTCCTGGCAGGGATGAGTAGAAAAGCTGCCTTGTTTGGGATAACGTATATGTTAAATCAAGTCTGCTTGTTACAGCATATCTGCTTCATCCCAAATGATTTGTTTCCTTAGTCATAGGGAAAATTCGTTACGAAAAATGCCTCTGCAGTCCAAAAGACGTCAGACAGGAATATGCTGGGCCTCAAGGGTCCCAGTTGAAATAACCTGTTCAGCGTCTTGCCCAAGCCCAAGAAAAAGAACAAAGAAAGAAAAACAACTCACTGTTACCCAAAAAAGTGCACATCGCACTTTCACCAGAGATTCCTGCAAGGCTGCACCGCTCCTGTGCCTGCTTGTGGCAAAGCCAACTGAAAGTTTAGTCTGCGTTAGTGGGTTTTTTTCTCAACCTCCAAGGCGTGTGCCCCTCACCATCGCGAAAGCGATGGCGTTCGCTCCGAAATTGGAATTTCGAGGCTTTCTTTACCGAGTATACTTGCTCCAAAGTTCTGCCAAATCCACACAACTGAATTTACTGGCTTGACTTCAAACTAATGCACACAACCTTGGATGGAATTTCGTTGAGCATCGAAGGTCTTGCGATGGAGAAATAATGCGGCGAGGCCATGAAGGATAAATAATCGCTGCAGGTGAAGTATGCGTCACGGAAAACTGCACCTGCAACTCTTTTGCTCATCCCCTGATGGCATCGTGTTACTGCTGCTTACAATGCTTGGCAGAGTGAGGCAACACGTGCCACAAGTGTTTCAAATGCTGTCATGAATGAACTTTGAAGGTGCAACCGAAATTCGGGTTTTTCCATGCAGAAACTGTCTCACTTAGTTTCCATTTATCCTTGTGGAATTGAACAAACGATTGCCTTTAGTCAGGTTCGAATCTGTCCATTGAGATCGCGCTGCTGATAAATATTGGTGAGAGAAACGCTATGTTCTACATATGGCAGGTCACCATATACGCATCCGTATCTTGGATACCGAACAACGTATGCCCAGTGCATATGCGGCACACGCATGCCCAGAATATTGCATCCACATCCAGAATGCCGAAAACACCCCTGTGGTGGACTGCAGTGTTTGAATTTTACCCAAACGGAGTGCAGTTCGCACCACCTCGGGCCAGCCGCCAAAGCATCCTGCGGTGTTCACTCCGCGTTGCGACATTTTGCCTGTTTTGTGCGCGACAAAAGGAACTGACTCCCAGAGTGTACTGCACTGTAGGAAATCGCACAAGCTCGGAATGGCGAAGCTGCGAGAGCACTGAAAAACCAGGTGAGCACGGTATCCCTTCGCCACGTGGCACCTGACACGAGGACTGCTGTTGCAACCTGAGCACAAATGTCTGATGCCCCTCATCTCCGGACGTGAAAGTCGTGGAGAAAAAAAAGCGAGGCTCCTCACATGGTTGCTGCCAGGCGCGGGAAGCAGATGCATGATAGAATGAGGCGTCCAGTCAAATAACACAAACTGCAAACATGTCCATTTCGCCCCATTGCCCCCCTATACATTTCACCATAATTTGACACAGTAGTCACCATGTCTAGTTTGCATCATAAGGCGCCATATATCACACCACCACTTGATGACATCTTCCTCATCCTCACAGCCGCAATGACCAAGAAAGTCGCTTTCAGGTATAGGGGCGTTAAGGTTAGTTTTTGGATCCTTTGTGTCCTTCATGGCCTTCACTGCCTTCGTATTCAGGAATGATAGGTTGTGGACAAACCTCCACCGGAGTCTTTACACCCGAATCAGTTCAAGTCACTGTCCCTGCCGAGTTATGCGGCAACCATACCCCCCTGGAGTATGCAGCACGTGGCCCCTGCACCTGGCCGCAAATGCCAACGCACATCGGTCTCAGCGGAATTTCATGACATTTGACAGCATTGAAGCGCTGCAGCAAGTCAATCCAAGCGAAAATTATCCAAATTGAATGGGATCGGTAATTCTCAAGTAGCGCTGGAGAAACGTGTGCATTACTTTACTTTACTTTACGCTTTACTTTACTTTACTTTACGCTTCACTTTATTCGTAGGCCCGGAGCCAAGCCCGAATCGACAGCATTTACCTGTGCCAATTTTTGATGTCCAAGGATCTAGGTGGCGCTAGGAGACGGCCAGCACTAGGGAACAATTCCCCACTTCGCACTTACTTTGCTCATGTTGTGCTAATCCGACCAAGTCATGCATTTGATGTTCGGACTGTGGTAAAATGGGAATAAGCGCATGGTTTTGACCGTGTTTTGGTACTCTTTTACCAACGCAGGGCACAATGGTTTAACGAACGCAAATCATTGAAAGACTTCAGCACCTTGTGATTTCAAGTGTAACGGGCGTTTACCGTTAAATTCGATCACACTCATTGTTCGAGTGCCATGATGTTACAAATAGTCGACAAGCACCGCCAGGAGGGTGTCTACACTTAGGAACAGCAATATGACTCAACGATCAGCCATATGCGCTCAATGATAGTCACTAAGGACACAGCCACTATCACAGCCCTGTCAATCGCCCAGGAGTTCTGAGCGTTTCGCTCTTGCACCTTCAACCACTCAGCTCCTAGGAGCTTACAGGACGATGGAGGTTACCACAATACGCAAATTCAAACCCAACAGGACTCCAGGGGTATTGCCGAGCGCTACCGAAGCGAGGCGCAACCCCAGCACTGAAATTCTCTCAGCTGCTTAATGCTCTGCCTAGCAGCGGTAATTCATCACCGGTCAACGAGGCAACTCCCTTCGCCGCCTTTCACAGCTCCTGAAACTTCGTTCAGTAAACCGCCAGCACTTCAAAAGACTCCACGCAGCTTTGCCATCGTTGCGCACTGGTCGTTCACCATAAACTTCCTTCCAATCCACTCGATAGTCAAATCGCAGGCGGCAAAGACGCCACTGGACAGCTGCCAGCACTCCGCCTCGTTTCCGTCCCCACAGCGTAGAGTGAACGCGAAGCGCCACCGGCCCTCGCCTCGCAGCCCTGCTTGACGAGAAAGGCTGCCTCACTCAGGACGAGGGGCGCGCCCAGCTCGCGCATTCCTCGGGCGGCCAGGTCTGGATGCACCTCGCCTTGTCGCAGGATGGGCGCCATCCATCGAATGGGGATGTGGCTGGGCCCTGCCATCGCCCCCTCGCCAAACTCCCCGTCCGCGTCGCGACGCGCCGGGACCCAATCCGGCAGCCTGCTCCTCTTGACCCGCGCCATCAGCCCATCTTTCAGTGCTTTCCGCGGTGAAACGGCAGCGTCGCTCCGTTCGGACCAGTCGCAGGTCGCGGGGCGCGGAGGCCTTGTGGGCGTAGGATGCGGGGATGTGACGAACGTGTACGACGCAGTACAATACAAAAATTACCAAAGGGCAGTTTCCCATACAGTTGGTAAGCAACAAAGTATTGTCAGCAGCCGCACACCATGTCCCATCACGACTCACTGAACCCTTACGTCCTGTCAGTACCTGTCCTGTGAAGGTCTTAGGACCTTTTGAAAAAGTTCAGGTCCGTTGAATGACAACCCCTACGGTCCATGGCGTCCTCAAAAGGGGCCAGAATTTGGCCTTCTTTCTCTGCGAAAGTCACCCAAGAGCTCCCTACGAACAGACCAGCCTTTTTTCAAGGGTGCTTTCCATCGGGCCTGTACACACTACGGCCCCTTTCTTTCCGTCTGATGTACCTATAGCCTCAATTCTGTGTACTGGAAATGAGTGACTCAAAACTGTATTGCATCCCGTCAACCTAGGGGTCCAACCAAACTAGTTACTGCCCTTTTCCTTGGCAAAACGACAGCGCAGCCGTAGCTGACCGTGCTGCCCATCGACTGGCCTTAAAATGACCCAAACTACACAGGTTGGGCTGGCTCTGATTATTCCAATCACAGATTCACAGAATAGGGGACATCTAAGCCTAGACCGCTTTGAGTTAACCGTACTGGAATATAGCTGACTGCGCACATGTTTTTGCTTGAGTACGGAGCAGTGACAGGACTATCAAAATCAGCCATCTTAGTACGTTTCAAGGGAAAACTGGCCGACTATGTCCGTACTCTTTCCCACCATCTTTTACTCGATTACAGCGATGGCCATTAAATTGAATAGATTGAGCTGTAATCGAACATCATTTATTTTACGACATCTGTGGGCATTCATCGACAGACACAATGCGATGTCCTTTGCTGATGAGTGAACATGACGACTCGCGTTCGAGGCCTCCACCCTTTGCATCATCATCGGCATGATTACTCTTACAGAACAAGGCAATGACGTAGCCGTCAGCTTCCTATTCTGCCCGTGCAAAGCAGAGCCTGGGATCAGTTCTTTCAAATCTAATGTGAAGCGCAAACAAAGTATATGAGTATATTAACTCCTAACGCCTAGAAGCGATTGTCTCCAACAGTTAGTGCGATCAGGGCGAATTCCATGGAGCACGCCACACCAGGCAATCAGCGACTTGAATACCCGATGCACTAGCCCGCTGGCGCTTTTGTTTGCGTGGTGGTGGAACAGCACTGGCTCGCCAGGCCAGTTGCTAAATTGTCCTTCAAGGCAGGCTTCTCTTCGCTGCTAAGTAAATTTGTGACGTCTCAACTTTTGTCCAAATCTACAATCACCCTGACGAAGGCGTGCAGGTTCGATTGGTGGCGACCCCTGAACGGGGCCACTAGGCTCGAGTCCACGGCAACGGTTTACAGCCGAGCGAAGGGGCAACAGGGGTTCTGTCCTTTATATCCAGTCCGTTTCACCCCTCGTCCGTCTCGTCCGCCTCATCACTTCTTTATGGGTCCAGCTGTTAATAATACTCAATCAGCTCCACGTAAAACAACACAAGCATCGAATCGGTACCTGCATCGGTACTACCGATGCGCTGTGCCCCGCAGGAACTGCTGCGCCTGGCGGCAGGGGCTCCGAATGAGACGACCCAGGCCACCGTCGACGACCTCTTGGCATCCGGCGCGGATCCCGACGCCTGCTGCTCCAAGTCCGGCGGCTCCGCGCTGCACGAGGCAACGGCTATGGACAACGACATTGTCGCGTCGTCGCTGCTGGGTGCAGGCGCGGACGTCGCCCCGATGGACGTCTACGGCTACACACCCCTCCACACGGCGGCCATCTCCAATGCCGTGCGCGTGGCAACGGTGATTGCCCGCGGATCAAGTTTGCTTTAGCAACACAAACACTTTAGCTCATTCTCATTGAGCTGATCCCAACCACTTTACGACAAGTTTGCTTGAGCAGCAGCAACGTGTTAACTATAGCTTGAGTTGCAGATCTTACGGCAAGCCATTGCTGGCTGGTGTTATCGGACTGTCCTGTGGGCTTCCATCATTGTGCTGCCTTTCTGTTTCTGTCTTTTTGGTGTGTTTGTGAGTGGGTGAGTGGGTAGAAGACGTGCAGCCTGCTTATGTCCAGACCTGTGCAGTGTGACATTGTGTTCCTTCATTGGTTTGTTGGTTGGTTGGTTGATAGAACAATTGATCTTCCGATTCGCTCCTAGTTTCATTGAGGAACTGTTGGACTGCCGCTGAGAACGTCTCCACATTATTGCTTCACACAAATTAGGACATGCACGTTATCACGATATATTAGAATGTTAAGATACGTTGAGATGTAAGATGCACACCTCGAAAGAAGGGGATAGTACATTCAAATCTTGATGCTCAGATGGTGCAATCTTTTGTGTGTGGCACAATCGGTTCAACCGACGCCAGAAATCGAACCATTCCTCTTGGCCGTGATTCGCTCTCGTGCTGGAACTGGTTGATCATGACGTCGGGCCACCAGGCACTAACCCTAGGGGCGCATCCTGTTAGGTTCTCCTGGACGAGGGGGCAGACGTCGACGCTGTGGACAACGTGGGGGCGACGGCGCTGCACCTCGCTTCGGAGTTTGGCAGCGCGGCCGTGGCAGAGGCCATCATCGATGCTGGCGCCAACGTGACGGCGAAAAACGACTTGGGAAAAACGCCCAGAGATCTCACCTGCGCGAGACTGTGCCCCAGCGGTGCGCACTCGAAGCTGACGGAACTCTTCGCGCAGGTAATTTGCCGTTCAAGAATTTGGGGAGTAATGGATTAGGGGACAGTAAAATTAGGGAAGAATCAGGGAATGAGTGATTAGGGGACAGCAAAAGTTGTGGAAGTGGCGCCATGGATCGCTGGTGGAGAGAAATCGCCAATGAGGATCGTCTGGCCAGCGCAGATCCAAATCAATGTTAGCAAGTGGACCGCCAATCAGTCGGTTTCTTGCTTGAAACTTTGTTCAGGTGAAGATTTCTTGAATGCCTCAGAGTTGGATCCTCGAGACTGCGATTTGGAAATGCCGGAATCGTGCGATATATTGTGAATGTGTCGCTTGCATTTTGCACTGTCCAACCATTCTGTGATCCTCTCGAGTGCGGCCCTCGAACACGGTGCAGGCGAGAATTGGGTTGGTGCTTTGTGGATGTGAATTTTCAACTACAGTTTCGTTTCCGGGTGCCGTTGGTTTGTTTGAGTTGCGGCCCGGGCGACGCTCCGTTCTCCTGATGGGGCCAATTGTGATTGCAAAAGCTTGGCTACATAGTCGACTGCTGAACCGCGTTTCGAAGCAAAAGTGCGTAACCCAGCGACAACTTCGTGAGGTGCCTAGTTGTGTTCGAAACACAGTTGACCAAATAGGCTTAGTTTGCCTGTGCCTGTGGAAATTTCATTGACAAAGGTTAGTAGGTGCGCTTGGAGAAATCCCATGAATCGCTTCGGAGGAAAGTATCTATGCATTCTTTTGGACGATCGCATGCTAGCTGCGTTCTGTGTAGAGTTGCGCAAGAGACGCGACACACACATCACGATTTGGTCCGTTATTTATGCGGATTACACACTGTGCAATAGTAGCCCACTTTTGACAATTGGTTCTAATTCAACGTGGTTTAAATGCGCATTTCAGTGGCAGAAGTGGCCAGCTTTCCCCAGCGTTCTCTGGACCAAAATGCCTCGGTGCTTGACTGTGATTCTATAAGAATTTAATCATCTTGCTGTTTGGTCATGCAGGCAAACTTGGCGGCACAAAATCCTCTTGATAAGGTAACAATACTGAGCTGTGCACCTTTGCAGGCAAGCAGGGCAAATCAAAGTCCATGTAGGAGTCATACCAAAGTTGCGCTTGCCTCCTAGGACCTCGAATTGAAACCCACAAGTCCATTGAGACCCACCTTGCAGCACTGCTCCCGTTTCGGATTCCAAAACTTTTCCGAAACTCAGAAACTTTTCCGAAACATTTCCGAAATTCGGAAATGTGCAACTCACCTGTCTCAGACAAGTTGTCTGCGTGTGCCCGGACCTGCAGAGAAAGAGAAAGAGGCCGTCTATCTGCTATGGCCAATCGGTGCGCAAGATTTGAGAAGATACAACATAGATATACGTGTCCAGGATATCGATGTTTAGGTCAGCTGCTATGCGAGTTTTGCATGCACCTGAACTTCCCGGTGTCGTGGTCCACGGTTTACGGGATGCACCGTTAATAGTTGTGCACTGTGTTTGCAAACCTGCAGTTTGGCGCAGCGTCCAGCTGTTCAAATTGCAGCTGGGGTGGTCATCGCCATGTGTGCAACAAGCACGCAGTTGAGCAGCCTGCCATCCGACACGCACGTCACCAGGCAATCCAATTCAAATCTGTCAAATCGAACAACGGCAGAAAATGGCAAAACTGAAACAGAGTTGCATTGGTCACTGTATGCTGCTGTGTCTGTGGCAAGCGCAGCAACCAGAGTGAATTCAATAGCAAAGTGGACTGTCCAATTCGCTTTCGATTCACCCTGTTTTGTTGGCATTCACCGGGAAGCTTGGTAGGCGTTGATGCAATATTGGCAGCCCCTTGCAAGAACGCCGCACTACAGACACCAGCCCTGAAGGTTGGCGTTGATCCAAGGGTCTGCTAATTTTGCGTCAGAGTCTGCCAAACTCTCAGATGCATCTCAGAGCTGAGAAACGGGATCGTTGATGCAATATTGCTGCAACTCTGCTGTTCTGGGATGGTGCATCAGGAAGCCTTTTTGGCGAGTTGATAAGCACCGACGCCACATAGCCATTGATTCAAGTGCAGTTCTCCAATGTTGATGTTCATTGAACAATGACCCCCTTGCACCAAACCCCATCAACGTTGCACCAATGATCTTCGGCGCATTGACGCACACCACGCGACCTTGCAGGACTTGCTGAAGGTCGCCATGTCGCCACCAAATGCATCCACGACTGAGTTGGTTGAGAGCCTCCTGGACATGGGCGCCAGCGCCGATGCCTGTTGCACAGATTTGGGCGGATATGCTCTCCATGCGACGACCGCATTTGACAACGAGGCGGCTGCCAGAGCGCTGACAGCAAGTGGGGCTGCCTTGGAGGTGGAAGACTTGCTAGGCAGCAAGCCGCTTCACGCAGCGTGCTCGACAAATGCCCTGGCCGTAGCCAAGGCACGTTCACACCCGCAATGGCAATTCTGCACTTCTCAACTGCACGATAAATTTCGTCAATTCCATTTGAGTATATCCGCTATTCTTGTGCACTGCTGGAAATGGTGCACCAGCAGTGAGCGCCGCGTCAGGAATGGACCAATTCATGTTCCGATCCCAAGACAGCTGATGCCAAATTCTCAGCTAGTTGCAGAGCCACGCGACTTCGGCAGCTGCAAATTCTTTACCACATGTTTTGCGTCAGTTGCACTTTGCGAAAAGGATGTCCAGCCATCCTCAATTCCCTTGAACAGGCCTGAACACTGAAACTCAGCGCTGAATCGGTATAACTTCTTCCCATTCTGAACTGTCACCTTCGCCGCTGTTCGAAGGTGCTGCTCGAGGAGGGTGCGAACGCGGAAGCGCTGGACCACTTTTCTCAAACCCCCTTGCATGTGGCGGCGTCTTTCGGCCGGTTGGAACATTGCCAGGCTCTTCTGATGGTCGGCGCCAACCGCAGCGCGGAGAACGTCAACGGCGAGAGACCTGCTGACGTCATATGCGAGGTGCCGTGCCCGGATGACGTAAGGGACAGCCTGCAGCTTCTTCTCGACGTGCAGGTGGGATGTGTGGCCGAGGTTGTGGAATGATTCTTGTGGAATGATTCCATAATAATTCTTGTCGATGGCAACTTTAAAGTATTGCAGCAGCAATTGTTGCCACAGTCCTTTAAAGCTACCTTCGACAAGACAACGCTGTGCACTTGCACATTAGCGGGTGTGTGAATGTCCGAGGACGTGCTTGTGTCCTACATCCGTTCGTTTCACCTGGTCGCCACCTGTGTTGTCAGACATTTGGAGTTTGCATTATGATTTGCGATCTGTTCAAGTTGCGCATTATAGCCAATTGGAATATCTATTTCGGGCATGATGATGGGCTATTTCAGCAGATTTAATGGGAGATAATGAAACGACTTTAGGTGATGTGTGGCCTAAGTTGCCGCGTACTGCTTTCTCGGAACTTGAAACGAAACAGCTTCGCAGAGCCGAGGGCATTTACATTATGCTTGAAGAGGCCCAACATGCACACGGAACCGCCATCAGTATGAACGAATCAGTCGTGTGTTTGAAATTCAAGGTGGCCCAGCCGCTGCAGCTGTCGCTATATTCCGGGTATGGTCCCAGACAGGCGACTATATGTTGCATGTGAGTGTTAGCGCACTCCTGATACATTACTTTCCTTTTTAGCGACATTATGGTGCTTGCTTGTGGCCTTCTTCCCGCGCGGTGCACTTCACGAATTCTCGCCCCTGAGCACGTTTTATGAACGGAGCTTTTCAAGGAAACGTAGCCATGGGTAGTTGCAACTGTATCCATTCCGGAAATCGACTGGCTGTCTCAATGCAATGATTACAACAAACGCGTTCCTGGGCTTGGATATTGTATAGGCGCAACGAAGCAAACCGGCTATCTTGGTATACTAAAGGAACACGCTTGTTTCTCTGTGCGTGATGCAGACCATTCATTGCACATTCAAGGCATTGGAGCTATTTCCAAAGAAAAATATCTTTTTGGATTGCAAAGAGCGCCTCCACCCAAAGTCCAACAAGCTTGCTGAGCTTTGACCGGAGGCGCTCTTTGCACGTTGAAAGCAATGTGCAATGAAATTGAAATCAAAACATTTCTTAAGGAATGCTTTGATATCAATTTATGTGCCGAGCAGTACTTTGCATCGACTTCGACACAGGCGGATGCAGTGGAGAAGCCCGTTGCAGCCAGGCTGGTGCATGCAAGCACTACTCGTAACAGTACCAGCAATAGTACGAACAGTGCGGTATTGAACCTTCAGGTGCCAAGTACCTTGGTACAGCCGATCTTGCGAGCGTTCCCGCGACAGTGCCACATGTGCCGGAATGGACTGAATCGCCAGCTCCTAGTGTGCAACCACAGCTACAATTCATTGGCTGTTCGCAACACAGCATTATGACCACCGTTTCACTTGGTGGATCACTTATGCATTATGGTGTGCGACTTGTATGCACTTCAAGAATGTTGTTTGTATGCAAGGCATTCTGAATTTATACAAAGAAAAGAAAATGTGTTTTAGAACTCACAGAATTATTTCTCATGTGATGGGACTTTTGTGAGCATCAATTTGATTGTTGTGGGAGATGCCATCCGTTTCAGAGAAAAATGTTATGTTGAGGTCGCGCTTGCAGCTGAAATATTTCTGCATTGCCATTGAGTGTATGGGCACCTTTAGTATATGTGCTATAGAGTGGGTTGCATTGTGGCGATGAGTGGGTATCTTTGAAATGTCGTATGGCTGGTTGGTGATGGATGATGGTCCTTGTCACATGAAAAGGAAAGCTCTGTGGGTGCAAAAAACATTCAAACTGTTCGGTTGCGGGGGTCGTTGCCACCGTCGGCAAGGCTCTTCATTGTGGGAAGGGTAAAAAAATATGTAAGCCCTGAGCGTTTTGTGTGTGGCGTGGCCTTGCGTCTGGCCGTGTGCCAACGCCGTTGAAGCATCGGCGATCGTGGACTCACACTTCCCGTGTGCACTCCAAAGGGGGCCGTTTGAATCGCATCAACGGCTTTTCCTTGAAGCTGGTGCAAACCCCTCTACCAGTACAACTGCTGAAACTAATGCTGACACTTGAGGCATTTGGTGCTGAGTATTGATGGTGAGAGGCACTTGAGTAGCGCAGGTGGTGGCGCGTGGTTCAATACTAAATTTCAGCACTGTGTCGTTCCTCCGGGCACAGGAGGCGAAAGTGCCTACTTCAGAACCCGAGGGAGGAGTCGACGAGGTCGAGGAGCTCAGTGAAGGTGCCGGTCAAGAAAGTCGGCAGAATCAGACTCCCGGGTTTGGAGAGGAAAGAAGTAAGGAGGAAGCCGTTTTTAACCTGGTAAGATTTGCAAACCATACTTTGTTGATGTGACCCATGGAATGAATACACCGCCGTGGCACCAGGCGTTGCCAATCCATTTCATTGCAAGGCGGTGCTGTGGGGGCATGCATTGGCGAACCCTGTCAGAAATGGTTGCTTGACACAATTCTGTGTCAACTAGATAGTGTCTTGTTGCTCGAAACCCTGCAATGGTAGTGTTGGCAGCACGACAGAAATAGAACAACTTGCACTTTGTCTGGAATTAAATAAAACAATTTGTTGGGAGGTCGTATTCGTATCAAGTGTTTGTTTGCTTTTGTTCAAAATGCAACCACAACACCTAGTATACATGTAACAGTTGCTGCCAAGAAATGAGACAATTAAGCAACGACGAGCATCGCCCACTAGGCGCCGGGGCCTTGCTTGCCAGGTCTATTTGACCAATGTAATCCATGTAGCGACCGGCATCCAATCACTGGGCATTATAAAACACCAGCGTAGAAGCTTTTCGCCCCTCCCAAATAGACCAAAAAACAATATATAAGCTACCATAAAAAATAGCAAGAAAACCAACATGTGAGAATAAATTCCGGCAGATTAACAAAATGACGGGCACTGCATCCACAGAATCTGCTTGTACTGTCTGCTTGCTTTCCTCTGCATTTTCAGTTGCCGGTTGTGACGTTTGCATGGCGTAAGCACGGCGGTCGTCGCCGTCACCCTTAATCCACTCCACCTCGCTCCCAATTTTGCCCCCACATTTTCCGCCTATTCTACCCTACTCACCTTAGAGCATCTTTATCGGTGGGTGCTACTGCACCGGCGGTGCTATCCGGGAACGGCTCTCATTGGCTGCTGTGCCACCTTACTAAGGTGGCATTTGCCGAACAGCACCGGTGCTATGGGGGGGCAATAGCACCGGGCGTGTATCCGTTACTGTACCCCATTTTCCCTTATTGCACCCCACATTCTACCCACTGTACCGTATTTTCCACCCTTGTTTCGACTACGGCCCACTCAACTGCACCCCCCGCAGGACCTGCTTAACCTCGCCTCGCGCCCCCCCGCGCCGTCCTCCCGCCGCTTCGCCGCCAAGCTCCTGTCCAAGGGCGCCGACCCGAACGCCTGCTGCCTGGCCGCCGGCGCATCCGCCCTCCACGCCACCGCCGAGCTCGACAACGACATCGTCGCCGCGGCTCTTATCTCCGCGGGCGCGGCAATCGATCCCCGCGACGATCACGGGGACACGCCACTGCACGTGGCCGCGGTGGTGGATGCCGTGAAAGTGGCCAGGCTGCTGATCGACGCGGGGGCGGATCTTGAGGCCGTGGATGAGGTGGGAGATTCGCCGCTGCACCACGCGGCGGAGTGGGGAGCCGTGGGAGTTGCGGGGATGCTGGTGGAGGCGGGGGCGGACGTTTGGGCGGAGAACGGGGATGGGTACGTGCCGGGAGAGGTGGTCTGCGAGGGGCTGTGCGAGGAGGGTGGACGGGAGGGGTTGGAGGCGCTGCTGTCGCCGAAGGTGGGTTGGGTTTGAAATGCGCAAGCCTGGGATCAACAATCCGCAAATCCGCAATCAGCAATCCGGGTGTGTGCCGTCGGCGCTGTCGGCGCGCTCTGCTGGTTTCTGGTGCGCGAGGGGCGCCTTGATGCCTGGACGCCTGGGCTAGTCAGGGTGTTGTGGATGCGTCCCATCAGCAGGGAGACGGAGACGGAGACGGAGACCCAGTGCATACACACCCCAAGCCCTAACGCCCTGCCGCCCAATCCTGACTCGTCTCCGTCTCCTCCTCCGTCTCTACCTCCGTCTCCGTCAGGTCTCGGTGCCCACTGTCTGTATCCGCAACAGTCCGGGACAGACTGTGTGTGCGATCGCGGGGATGAACTCCGTAGTTGCTGATGTCACGGCGCCCCTGGTTCCCGTCCGCACACCCCCGGCACGCACACCGGGAAAGCAGCGACACTGTGCCGGGACGGTGTCCGGACTGCGCCACGACTGTACTGTGACTTGACAGATTGTGTCAGGATGTGCGTCAAACGTCGCGGCGTGCAGACCCCGCTGATGGCGTTGTGTCGAAGGTTCTTGCGCCTTGTGAGCGATGATGGAGGCATGCACATCCAACGTGTTCGTTTACAAAGGATTCCTCATTGGTTCAGTTGTCCGCTGGCCGACCGCCACTTTTTGCAGCGAGCAGGACGACGGTGTCGGAGGCCAGCGGGCACCCAAGCAGTGCTCCAAGCGAACTCCCATTGCCCGCGAACCATCCATCGGTGCTGAGCCTTGCGCAGCGTGAGCCTTGCCCTCAAGCTGCGCTGCCAGCAGATGTGCTCATTGCTTCCGGCTGTTGGCAAGCAGGGCGCGAGTTCCCAGCAGTAGAAGCGGACCGGGACCCAACACGACCCCTCGCCGGCACAGAGCTGTCGTTTGCACACCAATCGCCCCGCGCTTGTTTATTTAATATCTTAGTCCTTGAGTTTCGATTTCTCCAAAATAGAATTGCCGAAATTGCGCAGCATCAGTGCAGCACGCTGTGGAGCGAGGCCAAACCGTGTGGTGCCAAGTCAGGAGTGCGGATGACGGCTGGAAGTTCTGGCCATATTTTCTGGCCTTCTTGTCCGCAAGCGTGGTCACTGTGCAGCTGTCTGTCTGCAGGAAGAGGAGGGTAGCAAGCAAAGTCAGAAAAACCAGCAGCAACTCGACGAGGTGGGGGCCCAACTCGGGATCGCACGGGCCATTTCGGTCGCTACAGTCTCTTTATGCAGCTCAAGCTCCGCACCGTAGTGAAGGCTACGGTGCGAATGTTCGCACCATAGATTCGCCCCGCCGGGGGAGCCACGTCAGGACAGGGGGAATCCACGAGAGGTGCATCGTCCGATGCTCTCGTCCGTTCTGCCAACTCTCATGTGGCACATGCCACGCCGCACGGGTGTCCGATACCGTTCGTTTCCGGACACGAAGATCAGAGTGGCACTGCAGGAAATCGTGTGTTCGTAATGTGAGCACGTCTAAACGAGACTACATTGCGTGAGCTTATACCGCGTTGGTGAAACTATTGTAACCGCTGGAGCTGCGTCGTATTGAGCGCAGTTAATTTTAACCCACGCAACGCATTGTCCGCAAAAAGTAGTTGTATAAATCAGCCATTGTGTTTTGTGATTTGCAATATATATTCAAACGCAAGAATCCGTCGTTATGTACCACGCTTGTCGGTTATGCTCGACGCGTGTCATTCCACGTGGATGCTGTTTTCCAATGTGGCTGAAAACCTGAAAGCAGTTGCGCAAATTTGAGACTTTCACGCCAGCGTCCCGGCGCTCCTCTAAGGCGCAAATTGCCCGCTCGTGGAAGCCATCTTAAACAGCGCGCGCCACGCCTTCGCTGCGGAAGCGACTCAATTCGCGCCTCCCTTCCCACGACCGCACAAGGAGGGACCAGCCCGTTGCGCAGCACCCCCCTCCTTCCTCTAAGAGCACCACTGATTGGAACGCTTAGAACTGTTTGAAATCGCGAGGACGCCACTGTGCAAACATGCGAAACGTCACTGTTTGAATTTTGGAGGAAGTCACTGAAAGGAAGCTGGTTTCAAACTTTAAAAGCGCCGCTGCGCAGTGGCCTTCATGAATTCGTGCGTGCATGGCTGTGCGCGGGCGTCGCTGTTTGAAACGGATAAAACTGTTTTCGACAGCAGAAGCTGCTGGAGATCTCTGCTGGCAACGACACGGGCTCGGAGAAGGACGCCACGAAGCTCCTGGCCCGGGGCGCCGACCCGGACGCCTGCTGCCTGGGCTTCGGATCCTCCGCGCTCCACGCCGCCTCCCAGTTCGGCAACACCCCCGTGGCGCGCGTCTTAGTCACCGCGGGGGCAAGCCTCAGCCCGCAGGACGACTTTGGCCAGACGCCGCTGCACGACGCCGCCATAGCGGGCGCAGACGGTGTGGCTAAAGTACTGATAGGGGCGGGCGCCGAGGTGGACCCCCGGGACCGCAGCGGGCGCACGCCACTACACCTGGCGGCGGAGTCCGGCAGCGTGGGCGTGGCGGAGGCTCTGCTGTCCGCGGGCGCGGACCCCGGGGCCCGGGACGACGGCGGGATGACCCCGGCTGATGTCATATGCGAGACGGACTGCGGGGGGGAGGGGGCGACGGAGGCGGCGGAGGCGCTAGGGGAGCTGTTGAGATGACCGACGCTCTGCAGGGAAAAGCCACACACTGTGCTAAGCACTAAGTACTGTCAGTACTTAAAACTTGTAGTACCTTGTTGTGGCACATTTGCCTGAACGGCGTTCATCGCGATCCCAGGTGTTGAGGGCAAGGGTCGCATTGTGAGCCACAACAGGTGTGGCGAATTCGCTTAATTTGCAGAGTAAATCATGGAGGTTTACATTTTCGGAAGGACGCTAGATTTGGAGAATCTTCGCTTAGAGTTGTCGTTTAATTTACTGGTAAATTATGGCGTGATCGACGGAAGGGGATCCTGATTAGGATGTCCTACTTTGAAGGCGCCGATTAGGACAGCGGAATCGGTGGCGTTGCAAAATGCGAGCCATGAGCTCTTGAGTCGTGAGTTGTGGATAGGCGATGGGTGGTTCACCTGCTGCAGCTGGTGGCCTTGCGGCAGGACTAGATTTGGGCCGCGCTGTTTCGAGTTAAGAGAATAGATGTGGGGCGCGGCGCGTTTGGTTCGTTTACGTGAAAGTGCTGGCGTTCAGGACGCTGGATAACTAGTGTTAGCTTCTGAACCTTGTATGTCATGGAACAGAGTTGGAAACACACGGCGGCTGGCGCCATGTTTCAATGTGCGACGGCCAGCGGCACTTGATATGAAGCTGTTCGAGGTGCAGGTGGTTGATTGGAACTCGGCATGGGGGCGGGACTCCTTCATCGTGGCGCCCCAGTGGCAGCAACGTGTAACATTTTCATGCATGAACGATCGCAAAACTTCGGGAATTCCGCAACGCCGCACCTGAACCTCAGTTCGTCGTTTCCCATTAATCATGGCATCAATGGGAGTGTTGTTGGTCTTCGAGGAGGCGCTGGAGTCGGCCGTACGGACACCGCAGCAACGCCAACACAAGCATTGGCCATACCGATTGCGTGATCGCCTCGTGAGTCTGTTCCTAATGCTCGTAGGAAGATTATCGGCAGCTGAGTTGTCGCGCCGGTGGCCCATGCAAGGTGGCTCAAATTTTCATTTCAAGAATCGTGCCTAGCGCGGGGCTGACGTCTCCCTTAGGGAATTTCAGAAACGAAACTGCAGGCAAGATACGGAACGACTAAAACATGTGCGTGACTGTTCTCAATCGGTTTGTGCGGAGAGTCAAAATTAAAATGCACTGTGTCCCCGTCCCGCATACAAGGTCTCCAGCCTGTCCGCATCCCAGATGTCTGGCTCAAAGCAGTGTCAGGGATCGTCCATCTGCTTCCAAAGAAAACGAAGGAAGAGTGTGCGGACAATTCTATCAGGCTGCGACGAAAAGGATCGCCCGCGCATAGTCAACAGGGTACCGGAGAGTTGAAAATCATCTTCAATTGTGGAAGCTTCTAAGGAATGTAGCGCTCAGTCAAGTCCGGCAGCATGTCTTGAGTGGATGATGGCAATGAACCAGATCTTAGTCTTGTTGCTTTGCTAGAGAACTAATTTCTGATCACCTGCAATATGGTCGCTGCCAGACATTTCGCTCATATTCGGTTTTGTAAAGTAATGTCCAATTGCTCGACTCGACTTTGAGAAATCACCAAAGAAGGCAAGCAGCTCGACTCAGCAATAGACAGGGTTGAAAGTGCGACGCTTCAAATGATGGCGATCGTCTCATTGGGATTGGGCACCCCGAGCTGTCCCTAGGGAACCAGTCAATTGAGACGTTTCAGGGAATGTTTTGAAACTTAACGCTTCAGGGAGGCATTTGAACTTGTTTGCTTCCGATTTTGGCCAGCTATGTGGGCTCTTAACGTCACAAGTCTATTGCGCTCTTCCTCATGTCAGTTGAGGCTAAGCTTGCCAAATCGAAAGGACATTTTGTGTCGAAGGAAAGGAAGTTTTGTATTCGGACAGAATACTAAATTCGGACGACGCAAAAATCTCTGTGGCTTGTCGTTGCAAGCTCGTAGCATTCCAGCCCGTACTTGCGAGCTCGATGCAACAGCATTGCTGTGTGCATAACATGCCATGCTTGACTCAGCAATGCTACTGCGCCCAACTCGCAAGTACGGGCTCGTGGCGCGCCACGAGCTGCACACATGCGACTTGGTTTTGCCCAATTTGCATGAAATAAGCACTCGCGTGATGGCCGGAAGGTTCTGTTGGCTTTTAAACCCTTCTGCATAGTAACGGAACGCTCGGCCTTTTCTGTGGAGAAAACAATAAATAAGTAACGCTCTTTCGTTAAAACTTGCGCGGAGGAGCGTAAAAATAACAAAATAACGCTCTTATGCAAAGCAAAAAGTATAGCGGTACAATTTTCCGATGCGGAATGGCTTAAAAAACAACTGTATGGGACGAGTGAGCGCCATCACAGCGAGCGGCACCGCTTCGTGAAGCAACCAATTGATGTCGAAAGGTTCGAGAAGCCACAGGATGCCCAGCGGTGCTCGATTGCTACTGAAGCGAGTGCCTGACGCTCACCTAACACTTGCACAGTTCAGTGCTCACGCACATCCATCCGTGATATTTCTGACAGCTGGGCTGCACCTCCTTCCGGTTCTGTGCTTGCACCTGGCCCACCGCGGCCTGCGGCCCAAAGTACCCGACCGCTCAGCGCAACAGCCGTGGGGCTGTCGACAGTCGTTCGGCGCTGCGGCCAGCGCGGTTTGGGGCGATTGCGGGAAGCGCTGTCACGCCGATCGACCCCAACAAAGGGGGCCTCCAATATTGGAGCCAATAAGGCCCCTGAGGTGAACATCCTCGCGCTCACGCCGCGGAAGTTTCTCTCAATCAGCGCGCACAGAGCTGGGGGTTCGCTTTGGAGGGGAGAAAAAGAAGGGTGGTGCGCCGTGCATGGCGTCGCTGTCAGACTGTGCCAAATGTGGCGGTCTTTGTGGCGCAAGACTGTGCTTCACCGCCGGGGCGCCAGTTGCGATGGTAGGAGATGGGCAAGTAGCCCACTTGTTCTATGGAGCAGCGGGGGGGCATGAAGGAGGCGGCGGCAGAACGGCCGCATCCATGCCTTCACAAAATCGCATGAATGGTCAGCTTGCCCAAGAGAGGCGCTCCGCCCCCAGGCGATTTCCGCAACCGCACAGTCCGCCTTCCCATTGTCCATGGGCCTTCATCATCACCAGTTCTGCCACACAATCCGTTCGCGTGCCTCCATGCCGCTCATCGGTCGGCTGCGCGCTAGCCGGCACGCCGCCTTTGGGCAACCCTCTCGTTGGCCGCCCCGCGGCCCACCTAAAAGCCCCCTGCATGGCTCTAGATCCGACTGGATCTCTTCGGATTCCTCCCTGTCGACCGAAACCTTGGTGGCACCGCGCCGCCCTCACGACGCCCAGAGCGCTGGCCACCACGCGGCGATGCGGAGGGGCGGCGATGCGGGAGGGGCGGCCACTTTGGCGAGCGGCAGCCCGCGTTGCCGGTGCGCGATTTGACTCCCGATAGGATGGTGGCAGTTTCGGTGGCCGCGCCAGCGGGCAGAGCGTTCTGCTGCCGCGCCTCCCGCGCCGGTCCCACCGGTAACCTCCCCCGCCCCCACAGAGGCGCGCCGCTGCCGGTCTGGCCATTGCCACCACCCCACGGCCAGCCCGAGCCTCCTCGTAGCTCTGGAGGCGACGGGCCGACCTGGGAGCACCGCGTCATTACCAAATCGCCTTCGGTGCGCACGAGAAACGCCCTGTGATCCTTCGGAGCCCCCGGGCCGCTTTACGTCAGGAATTGCGGACCAGCCGCCCCCATCAAACGCTGATTGATGCCGCCGGTCCCTCACAATTCCTCCGGCACGTACCGCCGGGGCTGGTGTTGCTTGGGGTGGGCGCCACCCCATCCGGAGGAGGCGGGGGCCGTGCGGCGACCGAATCAGGAATCAGGGCCAAGCGGGTCCCGAGCGTGGCGGCCAACCGGCGGGTGGGCGTCCTGCCCGGGAGCCAATCATGCGGCGCGGTGCCCTTTGCGCCGCGGGCGTGGCGCTGGCCTTGGCAGGTGATGGGCTAAACGATCCCCAGCCCTTGGATTCTCAAAGGGGGACTCCGGATGCCGATGCCGCCCGACGAGATGTTTTGCTCGGGCGGGCTTAATCGGGGTCGTCTCCGTGCGGCAGTGCTGGCGGTGCTCGCGGCTGCGGAGGGGAGGCGCAGGGATGCGGAGCGGCCAGGTGGGGCGCAGGGCGCCACGGGTGAGTTCTGCGCCACGCCCTTCGGCGCGCCTGGATGCTGAAACCGGGAGGACGGTCGGCGGGTCGGGACGCCAGCCCCGCTTGTGGCCCACCCGGTAGCAAACTTCGCGGTCGAGGCGCGAAGGTGGAGGCGATTACGAATGCTTTCCGCGGCGCCGTCATGGGATGTCGCTGGATGTGCGGGCTCCGGCAGACTCCAGGCGTCTCTGGAGGCCCGCCGCTCGTCGTGCGGGGCGGGGCCGCGGGTGGGGCTGGCCCCGAGGCAGCCCTCCCCCCTCAAGACCGGTTCACCTGGGATCTCGCGCACATTTTTGGAACGCGCCAATTGTTCCGAAAATCGACTCCCAGTACTTAATACCTTGCCCCAGTTTGCCCTGGAGGATGTGGGAGGCGGCCCAGCGGTGCCCCCCCGGGTGCCAGGAGATTCCTCGAGGCTGCCAACGGCGTTGCCTCATGGCGCTGAATCCCGCTGCCGTCCCCTAGGGGGGTGTCCACACCACGTGCATTCCTCCTGCCCCGCCGGACAGAGAAAAGAAAACCTCCGGACCGCGTGGCGATCCTGGAAGCGATCGCGCACCGATCTTCGAGCGCCGCCGGTCCTCCCGACCAGCCCTCACGTGTCGAACCAAACTTTAAACCCAACGCCAGGCACGAATTTCATTTGCGCCCGGGTACCTGCGCCGAACGGCGGTGCTGTGCCCGATGCCTCGGCGACCTGGCCGGACCGCGCCGCCTGCCCTGGAGCTGTTTTCTTCGCATGGCTTTTTTGTGCGTTGCTGGTCAAGAACGCCACGCCAGCCGGCGATCGCCCGATTGCGAAAGGGCCCCCTCGGGCGGATCCCTCTCCCCGACGCGGCTTGTCCTTCCAGGCTTCGTGCCCAGGCGTCTGGCGTGGCACCCGCTGGTGGCCGTCGTACTTTGGGCCTCGTGGAGCACCCGGTGTACGAGGTGTGGGCGCCGTACTTTGGGACGGGGGGGGAGAGAGTCGGCCGCGAGTCCAATGTTGGGAGGGTATTGGGAAATGGGGCACCAGGGGTACGGGCCCCAAGGACACGGCAGTTCCCCCGTTGGTATCCTGCCATTTGATGCCGGGAGCTGAACTTGGACAACGCGTTACTCAACCGCCCTGATACGGGGGCACAAATTAGTCGCTCTGTCTTCCGTGAAGACCCCCTCTTGTCTCGGACACCCCAACCCGAAACCACCACTGACCAACTGACCGGCGTTGGCTTCGTCAGCGGAAGCAAAAGGGATCGTAGCGGAAAAGACAGAGGAACTAATATATTCTCTGGTACGGGCTGCTACTGCCCACAACAGTTTGACAATGATTAGGCACCCTACGCCGGTGTGCACTGAGACCGCAACAAAAGCATGGTGCAAATTCGGCGGCTGCCTGGTGCAATGGTCCTTTTTCTGAAACTGTTGTTTTTGGTGCCCCTGGAGCTGTCAGCCAGGACGTTTCGGGTAGGAAAGTGGTGTGCCAGATTTGGGACTGAGCCAAGACGCTCCCGCACCCTGCGGGACATGGAGTTTCCGGATCCTCCCTTTCGGTGGTGTGGATAAATCGAAAATTCATCTGTAAAATAGATTGATTCTTGTGTTTAGGGGTGTGGTAGCAAAGATATTAGCTTTGAGCAAAAGGACCATAGCACTAATCGGGTACCAGAACCTGCATTGCTATTTTGGGGCAAAGTATGGGTGACCCACCTTTACTGCATTGCTGTTGTCAAAGCAACACACGATGTGCACAAGATTGGGAGAATTGAAAGTCATTTGCAGCAAGTCACATGTTGGAGCTGGCGGTGCTTGATCAATGCAACATTCTTGGTCTTGGACAGGGGAGCAGATCTCAGTTATGGGAAAAGGCAGATCGCCTTCTCAAGGGCTGGATATTTAGAGCATTTGGCCTGCATATCAAACTCGTTACATGCAAAGGTGCATCTCCCAATGTTTAGGAGCATGCTCAGTTTGGCACAGAAACGTAGGGCCAACGTGTCCATGGTGGCAACTTTAGCGCTGTCAACGTGGAAGTTTTGGGTTGAGGTGGAGTGCAGCTCATTTTGGCAGGATGAGTCAGTATATACTCCAGGCTGACCACTGCTTTCCGACATCAAGCATGCACTCAGAGGTACCCCTCTATCGACCAGAAGCAAATGCACCAGTACCAGACATTTGGGGTGCTGCTGGCAGCCGGGGAGCCAATGCTCAGTGGGGGCACAACCAGTGTGGAGCAATGGGCAATGGGGATGGACCCATCATCATCTTGTTGGGCCGCATACGGGGCAGTCTCCTATGCCTCAGTCCAGTATACCACAGCCTCATGTCCAGTGCGTCCCCATCCGAGCTCTGAGAAAGAGCCTTGCATGAAACCGAAGGGGTAGAGGCACCAGGACAGGCACCTAAATTAGAGGCACCAGAACATCAAGTTTTGGGGGTTCAGAATGTCCAAATTGTACGGTGAAGGTTCAGAGCTCCTGGGTTTTCAGGATGCAAAACCAATACTGCACGTATGTATGTTCATATTTCATGGGGTACCACATTGCGAGGGCTTGGGTACAAGGGTGTAGTTCTGAAAGGCTTTGGTGCTTCTGGGGTACATGCGCTTGCATCATAGTCCAAGGAGCAATGTAGCTTTTGAAATAGCATCTGTTCTGCAAAGCAATGAAATGCTGATGTTGTCTTCCTGCTGAAAGCGCTGCAGCTGGCAAGTGTGCAAATCGTTTGAGCACATACCATAGCCACAACACGAAAGCCCTGAAACCCTGGTCCCTGGGAGCTTGGCCACTGCACACTTTTTGCCACTGCAATCGAAAAGGGAGACCGCTCTAGCAGAGCCGCAGTTGAGACCAAAATGTGGCCTTGCCCAATGCCGGTGTCGTTTTGCAGGTTCGGTGGCACGTTCACCTGGGCTGGTTAGTTGATTGACCAAGTGGTGGGTTCCTTGCACAGGAGGAGCAACAGGCTTGAATAATGATGTTCTGACAACTCTAGGACTGCGGACATTGAAGCAAGAGGTACTCAATCTGTTCTTGTAGCCTGGGGGAGGAAGGGGGCCAAAATGCCTGCCGAATTGTCCATGTATTTCAAGCATATCCGAGTTGAAACTGTACGGTTAATTGTAGTTTGCTGCTGCCCTTGCAACTACACAGCGAAAATGGGTGTTTCACGGCTTAATCATCTACCACTCTTGAGAAAGTGTGCTTCCACGACAGGCAAAGTGCACTACCCTTGCAAGTCTCGGATGGTGTAGAGCGCCGTCGCTGGCAACAGAAAATGTCCCAAAGGAATATGCTTCCCATAAAGTGTTTGGCATGCTGGTGAAACAGAGTATGATTTCCCAGTGTAGGGTAAAGTTCTTCCTTTTCCTCCTACCATAAACCTAGGAGAAATGTAACTGTTGCAGAAGAAGCACAAATATCTGGCCTGCAGTTCTTGTTGGCTGACGCTCAGAAGGTGGTCGAAGGAAAGCCACCAACGCCTATGGTCCTGCCATATGTACAGAGGCATGTGTGGTCCAGTTTTGGCATTTGCACCAGGACATGTGGCTATCAGTGCATGTGCATGAGCTGGTGGCACAGCAGTGGATACATGTGACACCATTTGACAAGCCAAAAAATGTACAGGACATCTACTTGAACTTGTTGTGGTGGGGCACAAGCCCACTTCTCGTCCAATAGCACTGGGATGGCTCCTGGACTCTTAGTGTGTAGCAGTTGCTGGAACTCCAGAAACTAAGAAATCGACAAGCCCACAGAGAACGGCCAGTCGCTGTTAAATAACCATGCCACAAATGGCAACGAATCTGGTGTTGCCATTTGCTGAGCCTATGCTCTGGGCTGTGAGTTGTTCTTCATACAAACAAAAGACAAACAAGAAAGGCTGCTGAAGTAGCACAGGTCCACGCATTACTGAACATAAGGCTGAATTGGGTTCTTGCTGAATTCTTCTTGGAGCACCCAAAGGCTTTTAAAGAGGCTTCCCGAACCATTGCAAAGCAGTCAAGTGACAGGAACTGTCATCCTGATAAATGCGTTTGCCTTCACCAGTTGCGATGGCGATCCAGGGCAGCGATGCTGCAGAACCGTTCCAGCCCAGTTCAGTGGCAGTCCTATCCTCACAATCCAACCCCAAAAATAGATGATCCCTAAAAAAATGCTGCAGCCTGTTGGACTCTCGTTGGACAAAGCTTGTGACTTATCCGATGGTTTTTCGTGTTTGTGCTGCAGCGACAAGAAAGTCTTAATGAGGTGAGTCACGCAAGACAGCATCAAACTGTGGAATGAAGCGTGGGACGAGATTACTCAAATTAGCTGAAAATATGTGTTTGCAGAAAATGTTAGACAATCACCTCCAGTTTCAGATAGGGTTGAGTGGCTGGATATGTGGGCTGTTGAGAAACAGATCTGTCACAAGTTCCAGATGTTCCTGATGCCAGGCATGGCCAGAATAGGCAATAAATTGAACGTGGCTAGAGCACCTCAAATGACATTCACATTGGCCTCTGCAGGGTGTTTTTGCACCAAAACAGATGTCCACCACCTGTACCATTCCTGCTCCTCTCCATCCCATTACCACTGCATTGCGAGACCCCATTTGTGTGACGCTTCCCCCTTATTATGCGACAAGGAGTTTTCCAGCTTTGACCCTCTGCTTACCCCCTCAAGAAGCAGGGGTCTGTTCTTTTTCCAGGCTTTGGGAGCCCCTTGGCTACACCCAGACAAGTCGATGGGAACTCAGCACAGCCATGCGCCATGACCAATGCCTCTTTCTTCACAGTGCACCTTCTGGATGCCACAAAATCCGTCTCGTTCACCTTGTTTGCTTCGATGGATTCACTCATCGAATTTCCCCCCCGCAGGCACTGTACGAGGCTGCCCGATCGACGGATGGCTCGGGCAGGAGGCGAGTCCTGGACCTGCTGCAGCGGGGCGCGTCTCCGGACACCTGCTGCGACATTTTTGGCAACTCACCGCTGCACATCGCCGCCAGCCGCAATAACCACGAGGTGGTGGACGCCTTTCTGGACGCGGGGTTCGACAGCGAACCGCGCAACAGCAATGACGACACGCCACTTCACCTGGCCGCAGGCGAGGGCGCCTTGGAGGCGGCCAGGACACTGGTGGACTTTGGTGTGGATGTGAATGTGCAGAACAGGGGTGGCTACACACCGCTACACCTTGCTGCAGAGGTGGGCTGGTTGCTGCTACCACTGTCGCCTGTTTTACATTCATTTGTGCTTCAAAATGTTGCATCGAACTCGAGATAGCACAGTCGCTGCTCTTAAGACCAGGGGCAGGCCTTTTGCCACAGTGTTTGCTGGGGGAATGGCATGGAAAGGATTGGCCTCAATATGATGAGTGCAAGAATTCGAAGTTCGCAAAGTTAAGCAGTGCATTTGGTGGGGCTGCTAAAGCCCGCGTCACCACAAGTCACGTGGTCTATTGTGCTGCTCTTGCCGATTTCCAGATTGCACAAGTGCCAGCAGCAGAGTGCGTCATATATCCACCACATGCTTGGTGAGCTTCTGGCATATATGCAATCTTCTTTTGTTGGGATCTGAATTGGGTACTGTCAATGTGGACAGGCTGGGTCCGTCAAGATCGTGCGGCTCCTGGTAGAGAATGGGGCGGATGTGGGGATTCTGACTGTGGATGGTGCAGCAGCAGCCGATGTCGTCTGTGCCCTAGAGTGTCCAAGGGGTGCCAAGAAGAAGATTAATGCTGCTCTTGAAGATGTGAGCCCACAATTGCAATCAACCAAACATCTCCCAATCGCAGTGCATTCGATCGAATACTAAATATTGTCGCATTCCTGGGTTAGGATGCAGTTGCAGGCCTGCTATGGAGGCCCCAAAAGTGGTCGGAGCGGATGGTATGCCAAGTTTCTGAATACTAAGTCGACCCATTGAAAGTCATGATTCTGCGATAGGTTGCACTGCATGTACTTTAGATTTCAACAACGATGGTCACTGTGCCTGGACTGGGGCAAATTCCTAACTGAATATAGTTTGAATGGCGGGAAGAAGAAGAGGAAGGGGCAAAGGGAGGGTGTGCAAAGGAAAAAGGAAAGATTTTATCCAGTGAAGGGCTTGACATGTGCCAGTGAACATTAGTCACACCGAAATTGTAGATGCAGGTGGGTGACAGTGCGGTTCCTGACAAGCCAGGGAACAAGGCTTGCATTGAACATCCCTTGAAAGTTTAAAATAAAGCAAAGTTCAGCCAGCAGCTCTACATTGCAGCAAAGCGATTTGGACGATAGGCAGATGGATCATCCACATCACAGTTACGAACAATCGGGGAACTCGTGTGCGTGCGGAAAGGATTAGTGATGTCCCAATCATTCCTAGTGTACCTGCGCACCCAATTTGTGTCCATTTTGCTTTAAATCTGTGCATGGGTTCACCACAAGAGGGTCATTAGACAGAGATAAGAGTCCGTGGCACTTTCTGCATTTTGTTGTTGGCCTGACTCAGATTTTAGAAAACGGACAAAGCACTCCCCTTGCACCTACTAGACTGTGTGCATTTCAGGTCGCGCCAGCAACTGCCTGTCTACAAGCTGTTCTTGATTCCATTTTGCGTATTTGGCAAAATTTGTTGCTTCTTTCTTCCCTCTCACATGTGTTTGCATCTTTCTGTCAAGAATCCTTGCATTGGCTGGCCATCAACAAGGGCAAGGGTGCCTGTAGTACTCTGAAATGTAAGACCCTGAATGTAACTCAGAACTGTACGTGTCTCCGAATGTGGCACCCACTTGTTCCTTGTGTTGGTATCGTCAAGTCGGCCGGCTGGCACTGGTAACATTATTACCCAGTGTGGTGATTTTTTTGTTGCTTTCAGATTACTGTACTTGACACGTTTTCGTGTTGCATTGTGTGCTACAGGCATCAGCCATTGGAGAACCTGCTCCAGAGGTTAGCATTAATCCCCAGTTCTGCGCTGTTGGTTTTCCACATTTTATCAGTATGGACTTGTTATGCTATGCCAGTCTGTCATTCTTGTTTTCCTGGCAAAGCCACCGGTCAGTGAACAACACATTTGTACACAGCAACATGAGATTGAAACTGGCTCTAAAAGTGTTCTAAAAGTTTGAAATGGACCATGCACTGCTGTTGCTGACAAGTTGATCTGTTCTCAGGCGCTGCCAGACTCAAGCAACCCCTTGGACTTGGTAAGTGCCAGTGATACACCCTCTGTTCAGCATTTGAATGTGCATTCAGATAGAGCTCGTAGTTATCCATACAACATGTGCCAATTAGGAGATGTTTGAATACCCTTGTTGACTAACTGTAAGTTGATGGAGGATGCACCCAATACATAATGAAAGAAATGACACACTGGACACAGGCCGATATCTGCATAAGGCGTTGACTACCAGCGAAGCTCGGTCGCGCTTTGGAATATCCCTCTGTGTGTAGCCAGGACTGGCAGGAGTAGCCAGGATTCTGTGTTGCATTTCGCTGTTAATGATAGGCAAGTACAAGATGGCAACATACTATAGACCTGTGCTGCTGAACATGCAATTGCTTCACAGCCTGGAGTTTCATGTCTTCACAGGGGCCAGTGTTGTCCAGCTTAAGCCCTTGCCAACTTGTCGAATGGATCCTGAGTAGAATGATGAAGTGCACTGCAAAGTCGACAATTACCGTGTCATGATGGCAGAGTGAAGGCATGCAGGGCATGATGTTCGAGTTGGCATGCATAAGGAGTTGCAGCTTTTCTTTGGGCACATCCTGACCAACCCAAGCATCCCCAATAAGGAACCCAACACCCACAGCATAAGATGCTAAACTGGCTCCGACTGGCAACTAGCTAGCCATTTGTGTTGCTGTTCAATACATGTTGCAGCAACACTGTTGTGCTCTACCAGTCCAGGTAATGTGTTATGCATTCCATGATTTCACATCCAAGTGTCAGTGGCTGAAAGCAAGCCGTGTCTGTGCATGTTGTAGGAATTGATCGCCCTGGCAGAAGCGCCACCCAATGCATCCTCCAGAGCGAATGCTGAGCGGCTCCTTGCAGATGGCGCCAGCGCAGATGCCTGTTGCACAAGCACTGGTGGGACTGCACTCCATGCTACTGCCAGGTAGTCCAGGGGCTGCCATCTGCTTTTTGTCCTTTTCAGCTTTGCCCTGGTGTTGCTGTTTGTGCTTTGAATGTGCGATATTTGAGTCACTACAATGCTGATCTTTGCATAAGTGCTAAGACACAGTACAAGTCAGTACAATACAGTGCTACAACAATGCTGCAGTTCTACACTAGCTGCGAATTGTTCACCAGCTTGCTCTAATGGTTGTGATTGCTGCAGTGGTTGGTAGGTTTGCACATACCTGTTTGTATTGTGCCCATTTTGAAGGCCTTTTGCTATTGGGAGTTCTTGTTTCTGTGGTCTTCCAGCTTTTTTCAGAGCTTAAAAGACAGATGATGTAAGGGGTTAGGGTGGGGTGCTGTGAAGATACTTGATCGTCTCCTTATTCTGGGGCCTTGTCCAGAGTTTGGGAGCCAGGCCCTTATGCTGCCATAGAGTGTGAATGATGAAGGCTTCACTATGTGTGTTAGCTGCTTGCATGTTGGCGTCAGACTGAACACATCATCTCCATACAAACACTGCTGGTATGGTATCTGTGAACATGCTACAAGCAGTGTATATTGCAGCAATGAGACTGCATAGTGGAGGACGATGTTAAGGGCTGGCATTGGGAGATAACGACGCAAAAGGTGTTGGCAGCATGTGTAGTCGACAACCTTCGATGAGATCGCTCACTTTTTGTGCCATGTTCTTGACATGCGGGTTATGGCACTCTTTTTCCCAAGCTTTGTGAGTCCATTGTTGACAGCTGGAAAGACTGTTGCTGTCTTGATCTGCGCTTGGTGTAGACATTTGCCCTGACGAGTGTGTTGCAATTTGCGCTGCTGTGACGTCTGCATGTGTTCATTCACTGTGTGTCACCAGTGGGGACAACAATCTTGTGGCTGCTGTCCTCATTGCGGAAGGAGCGGATGTCAATGCCATCGACGACAGCAGGGACACTGTCCTACACATCGTGCCACTTTTTGATGCCGTCAAGGTCACTGAGCTGGTGCTGGGTGAGAACCCCAACCTTGAAGCTCGGGACACCCTAGGGGAGACGCCACTACACCATGCGGCTGAGTTTGGCAGGTTGGATAGCCACAATTTATTCAGCTACTGGAAGTAAAGCGTAGCTGTATCATGAACTTCCCTGTTCTTTGTTTGTTGTCTGGGGACCTGCGCACTTTGTGTGCTACAGGGACGCAGGGTCAGGGGTGTTATTCAGACAAGGATTCTGGGGTCCGCATAGACTGTCAGAACTGATGCTGCTTAATTATCTGAACTCATGAAAGCCAGGCGCCATGGCTGGTGTTTTATGTTGTTGTGTTGGATGCACTGTCACACTGCCGTGCACTGGCGTTACACAAATGGGGTGATGTCAGGGGTCTCTCTCCGAGTGCCAGAATGCCAGCCAGGGGGCACGTGCGCACCCCCTATGGTGACAATGGGCGTGCTTCATTCCTCGCTTTGAGATAAAAAGCATCTGCTCATTTTCGCTTGCTCGTTTCTGTCAGTCTGGAGATCGCCACTATGCTGATCGAGGCGGGCGCCAGTGTCACAGCTGAGAGCAACGAGGGGGAGACGCCAGAGGACCTCATCTGCGAACAGCCGTGCGATGAAGAAGTCCAGAAGGGGCTGGAGGAGCTCTTCAAGCGGGTGAGAGGAGCGCTGCAATTCCGTAATGATGTCTGTCAAGTTGAACTTCAGCAAGGTTAAGAAATGTTGATGATTCAGGGGGTCTTGGGCACGAATTTCACGTGCATCGCAGTGCAAAGTCAACTTGCACGTTGTGGAATCGACTTGTCAGTGCATTGGCACCTGACAATAAAATCCTCTCGGTAAGGTTGATTGAATCGAAGTCCAAGGCAAAGAACGGGGCTATCTACTGGATTTGAATATGATATGGACGAGCCTTGCTCTGTATCTGCCCACATCCTGCCCAGGCCCGGCCATGTCTTTTTCAAAATGCAGGCATACGGGACATTGTCCTGACGAATACAAACGGAAGCTTTCTTGCCGCCCTCAGGATGTCCGGCGTTTTTCCCTTGTGGTGTCTGAACTGGCGTGAATACGTTCTCTGTGTGGCAGGCCAAGGCAACGCCAACGGCGCCCAAGCTGCCGGAGCGAGGGCCTGCAGAAGAAGACCTGGAATTGAGTGCGGTAAGTGAATTTGTAGTGAGAGAACACGACGGGGAAGGAATGTCTGGAGCCAGACAATGTGCATCTATCGCCTTCTAGCGCGTTTGTCAGCAGGGATGCCCCATGCTTTAGAGTGTTGGTCCCTGTCGCGTCAAGCAGCACGTTGGCCGCTGCCACCGGCTTGCAGCAACTGACCTTGCTCGCCTGGTGGTTGCATGAAGGAGAACGATTCATACGCAACAGATATCGGAACAGTATGTAAATAGCAGCGGGAAGATGTGTAAGTAGAACCAGGAAAGATATGTTGAATAGAACCATGTATGAAAACTGACGGTTCCAGTGCGCCCTGGTGCCTGTTGCGACAAGCCAATCGGCTCGTCGTAGACTCATCTTCGTATGCACACTGCATCATCACACGTGAGGACAGAGAGACTGTATAGCCTCTGCACCGTCTACACATCCTCGCAGTCTGTTCGTCGCATACGCGTCCTTATAGGCTCACCAGCGCAGACTCACGGTCGACTCGCCACGTCGTCTGTTCGTCGACTGGCCGCGTATTCGACTTGTTGCGTGCGTGTTTTTCCTCCTGCTCCCCGGTTCTTCGCCTTTCCGACGCCTCCACTGTCCAGCCCACACTCCTGTGTGCTCCCGGCTGTGGTCCCCCAGGCCCTACTGGTGCTGGCGGAGTCCAAACCCAACGACACGTCGGAGGCCCTTGCCCGCGAGCTTATCCAGGGCGGCGCCAGCGCCAACGCCTGCTGCACGGCGTCCGGCGCCTTCGCGCTGCACGCGACCCTCCGCCACGACAACGCCCCTGTCGCAAAGGTGCTCATCGAGAACAACGCAGACCTGGACGCCGTCGACAACACCAAGGTGAGTGGGCGCCTACTACATATTCCTGCACCTTTATTTTCTGGCCCTTGCTCATCCTCCATTGCACACTGAACCGCTTTCATGGCCACATCCGCATTCATTCATTCACCTGCGACGTGTGACTCCGCTTCCATTCCCTTTCTGCTGCTTTGATGTATCCCTGCAATCCACTTGTCGAAGAGATGCGCCAAACAAGGCCCCTGCGCTTGCGGGCAGCGACGGCCGGAGAAGCATTCAGCAAGTGTGGGACAGCGTCCTCAGGTAGCGCCCATATTGTACAGAACACACCGCTCGTTTCCAAAAATTGATGAGGAGGGCGCCTTTTCGGTTTGCGCCCCAGCCTCTGGCATCGGACGCGGGTACGCAGGTGCCGCTGCGGCCAGCGCTATTTGGGAGAATTGATTGTTGGCTACCGACGGATTGGTGGGCTGGTGACGTGACCGTTCCCACTTTGCTCCGACACCTTACTTTAAGACAGTTACTTTAAGACGTAATGCTAGCCTGAGGCCTAGGCTAACTAGTTCTGAATGAGGCGAAGCCTGAAAAGTTGCCGATTGGCTGGCTCATCAACGGGCTAGCATGGATAACATGAATATATAATGCAGGAATAAATGAGTATATAAAACATATAAATGAATGAATAAATAGATACGTAAGTAAGTAAGAAAATAAATAAATTAGTAAATAAATATATAACGGTCCACCATAACCAAGCGAGTTTTGTTGTTTGCTCGTCTCAGGACACCGCGCTGCACACCGCGCCCTTTTGGAACAGCCTGGAGGTGGCGACGCTGATCGTCGAAGCCGGCGCCTCCCTGGACCTGGTGGACGACATCGGGGAGACGGCGCTGCACCACGCTGCGGAGTTCGGCAACGTGGCCATCGCGCGCCTGCTGCTTGAGGCCGGGGCGGACGCCACCATCGTCAACGACGAGGGCGAGACGGCCGTGGACCTCATATGCTCATTTACCTGCGCAGCTGAGGACGAGTCGGAGCTGAAGCAGCTGTTCAAGCAGGTGGGTGGTGGGAATTCCCTGTGAGCTGGAATGAATTTATGTGTTCCTTGAATCACCATATTGTGTCCTGCCGCGTCTTCAAGAATAGAAAATTTCAATTGTGATGAGAAGTGAAACAGGGGCCCCAGACAGCTGGAATGGAACCCATGGGGAACGTAGTGCTGGGCCAGTACTGTGGTAGTAGATTTGGGTGCATGTTGAAGTGTTATGTTAAGCTCTTGCTTTGAACTCTGCAGGCGGGAGGGGTTGAGGAGGAACGGGAGAAGACGCTGGACGAGGTAGGTGCTGTCCCACACACCACAAGTAGTGGCGTTGTAGCAGTGAAAAACTGGATTGAGAAACAGATGAAGTAACCGAATTAAGCAAAGTGTAGCAGAGCAAAAGCAGCATATTGCATTGGAAGCATTAAACTGCAGCTAGGGTCAATAACGTACTGAGTACATCTTTGTTGCACAGTATCGTAACAGAGTACACTGCTATGGGCATTTTGCAGTCGCTGCACTTAACAACCCGTCTGACGTGTATGGGTGCCTTCCCTCAGCAACTTCTCGAACTGGCAAGCTCCAAGCCTGTTGCAGGCATCAACGCCACCGCAAAGGACCTCCTGGACCGTGGCGCCAGCCCCGATGCATGCTGCAGTGTCTTGGGTGCCTCAGCGCTGCATGCATGCGCGATCGCGGACAACAACCCTGTGGCGCTCGTGCTGGTCATGGCAGGAGCGAATGTCAATGTTGCAGACCGCCTGGGGGACACACCATTGCACTCGGTCGCAATCGGGGACGCAGTGGATGTCGCACAGGTGGGCGTTTTTGGGCTCAATGCTCAATACTGGGAAATTGGGTACATTGCAGTGCTGTCAGGAGCTGAATCTTGTGCCTGGTGTGCCGAAGGCAGTTTCTCTTCTGGTTCTTAACCTTCTCAGTTTGCAGCTTTGGAGGGTGGTTTAATGGGTACGGATGTTACTTTCAGTGTTGAGAATTTAATAGGTTTGTTTTGAGGGCTCCTTTTCTGTTGCTTGTAGAGGCTGTGGTTCAGTTGTCCCAAGGTGCATGCCATGCACTGCATGGGATCTTTGCTGGCACTTTGGATCTTTTATTTTCTTGGAACAACAGGATTCTTGTTTGACCTTTATTGGCTGTGGCTGTAAGGCAGTTCTTCCCTCGTGGTACTGGTGCTGTTTTGGCAACAAACGATGTCTTGAAGCACATGCGAGAGGCTTCATACAACAGCTTGTGATCTTTGGTGTTGCAGCGTCATTTGATCAGCCATCTTCCTTGGCTCACTGGAAGTGGGACTTGCATTTGTTTATCGACCGATTCTCTCAGTCGTTCCTTCATTCTTTGAAATCATTCACCCATCCATTGCTTAATTTGTTTTTGTACTGGCTGTTGATCTGTATCCATGCATCCATGGTTGATTGAAATGTGTTGGTTGACATCGACCAGGTGCTGATAGAGGCAAATGCAGAGGTGGATGTGTTGGACGACATCCTTGAGACTCCATTGCATCGGGCTGCAGCTTTTGGAAGGGTCATCCTGGTGGAGCTGTTGGTGCGAGCAGGAGCCAACACAACAGTCCGCAATGTGGATGGCCAGACGCCAGCAGACTTGTTGTGCACCAGTCTGCCATGCACAGAAGTTGCCAAGTTGCGGCTGACAGACCTGCTGCCGGTGAGCTTCCAGGCATCTTTGGACATGCTGCACAAATTTCTGCTGGTTTTGGCCCCTTCCTGCAGTTCAGCCACAGTACGCATTACGTCTGTGAACTATGTCGCACTGTGGCTATGCACTGTCCTTGCTGATGTTCAGTGTTCTGACACTGCTGGCCACAGTAGCTGAATTAAATGCCTGTCCTTCTGGTCCTAGCAACCAAGGCCTGCACAGCATGGCTGTGTTTGCGGCCTAAGCTGCGTTGCTGTGTTTACAGCAATACATTATGAACACAGCAGAGCAACGCGCATCAGTACCATGTCACCAAATGCTGCAGAAATTGCATTGGTATGCATGAATGAATTGCTGCAGCAAGGTGTTGTGCTGTGCTGTGCATTGATGCAGTACTGCAGACTATGCTTCGATTTGCTTTGAAGGATGTTTTTGCCACTGGCAGCTGCTTAGGAGGCATTTCGCTGTGGTTGGTTAGGGGCAGTGATTCAATGCAACGCATGTGTGGGCTGTCGATGAGTAGGCACACCTACCTTTTGAAGCTTCTCTTTTTAAATTGAAATCTTTTTTAAATTGAAATAGTGCTTTTGAGGAATTCAAAGGGATCGATCTCTCATGGGAGCTAACTGCATTTTTGGGCCACAAGTAGGAAGCAGGAAAAGCAGTCTGTTGTGGTGCTGAATTCTTTTTATGAAGGGCACGGAACATCGCAAGTGAGCAGGTGCTGAGGCTATGTTGCATGTTGCTGTAAAGAACAAGTCCTCACAGCAGGACAAGGACACGGAGAAGAAGCACATCGCGGAGGAAATTGAGGAAATGAAGGCAAAGAAGGGAGCGCCAGTGAGTGACGAAATTCCTTGCACATGGTTGTGGATATGATTGTCACAGATCATGCGCTCAAAGCATGTGTTCTGCAAGGTGGGCGCCAGCCTCTCTGTGCATAGTTATTGCATCAAGTGGTTTGCTATGTCCCTGAAATAGAGTACATTGTTGCATCCTCAACACCACAGTAAGAATACAACGTCTATGCCGATCTCAGATGGTGAACCAAGGTCGGGTTCCAAACGGCCTGCAGTGGCCTGGCCGTCAGTGGTTTTGTGTTTCACAGTATGCTTGGGACAAACACCGCAGCCCCACATCATCAAAGCACCATTGCACTTAGTCCAACATGACGCGGAACACCTGTTTCTGAAGCGAAATCGAGTTAATCAACCTCACTTGGATGCAGTAGGAAGAGTGATCAACATTGAGTGGCATTAACAGTGGGAAAGGAAGCTCCCAGGCTGAATGGAGCAAGACCTTGTAAGTTGAGTTTTGCGAGCAGTACCACATTTACATGGTATTAGTATCCACCCCCTCTAAATATCCACCCCCTATATATCCACCCCCTTCTTTTGGGGTCGAAACCACGTTAGTATCCATGACCCGGTGTTAGTATCCACCCCCAAACCTCAACAAAGCAGAAACGAGGGAAGGCATGGATGGTGGCAAGGGATGTCGGCGGCTGGTGTTGGGCCGCGTTGCCCAGTTTGGGCCAAACCGCGTTTCCTGCGATTCGCGCATCGATGATGACGACCGGGCCAGCATGGATGCTATTGAAGGAGAATTAGCAGGAGGCCTGCGAAAGGCTGTGGGGTTGACCGGCTGCCATTGGGGGTTGTAGCATAGGATAGCTGGGCGACGGCTGATGTCACTTGGCCCGATCAAACAAGCGATCGAGAAATCAAAGCCACCCTGGTTTCTAGATTGAGTCGACCCACTCCCCGGCCAGCCAGAGCAGGTTCTGGTGACGCCTGCCAAGGGGGCCTCAAGGCCCAGTACCAGGAACGGGTAGGCATTGGAGCAGGTCGGGCTGGCCGCCTTTGTGAGACAGCACCTGGCAAGCTGGCCTAGACACGCCGGGCGCTGCGTCGCGACGATGGATTCGGCCCCTAGCGCTTTCCCAGGGTGATGCCGGCTGGGATATAGCTGATGGGATCTGTGATTGGCCAAGCACACAACAAACCCATGGGTTTGTGCCATGGCAGCTGTGTTAAATGGGGATGGGCCCTGCCTTTGCAGCATTTTGTGGGCCACGTCGGTCCTCGTTCTTCGCATCGCGGAGGCAAACGCGCCTCGAGCAGTCCAAGCACCCCTGTTGGCCCCAATCGCCAGTCACCCCAGCCTGGTGCAGCCCCGAGTCCAGGCCGCTGGCTCGCGTGAAGAGGCTGACAACTTTCAGCAATAGCATTCTTCACAAACAATATGGTGCTGTCAATATTGTGGTGTCTACTATTTGTAACTCGGACTTGGTGATGCTGCTACCTATGCATTGCATCTTACTTTATTTCAAGCCCAGTTTTTGGGCATTTCACGGTATATTTTTCAAAGATTTTCTTTGTCTACTCCTTGGATCAGGGGTCTACACTGCATTAGTATCCATGACCCAATATTAGTATCCACCACTCGTTTGGGGGTTCAATAAATGCCTATTAATACCAGGTAAATCCAGTATTACTATTGCAGTACTGGCAAGTGAACTGGCAATGCTGAGCTGACATGCTAAGTCGAGAATTCAAAGGTGTGGACTGTGCCTGGCAGCAGGCAGAATCGCAGCAATGTGTCATTCACTGAGACTGTAACCAATGTTTCTGTTGTTGGAAGCAGCAAAGGATAACACTTGTGGGGAGGCAAACATGCAGGTGATTACCCAAGCTTATGTTTTGCAACGTTACAACAGCACAATCTTGGTTGTGTGACCATCATCTTTTTTGATTTGTACCACTTTGTTTGAATTTTTGATTGGATTGGGCTTGCAAGTAGTGGTGAAATAGTAGAATTCAATGGTATGCGAGACTGGGAAATGGGCTAGCCTGATAGCAGGTGTGCATCCTTACAGGCGCCCTCACCAAAGGCGCCCTCACCAGAGGGTGATAAGAAGAGGCTCAATAAATTTGACCAGGTGAGTTTATTTCGCACACAGCCAGTGCATAGGAGAGGCAGTGCATTTGGTTGGTACTGACACCCACTGCAATCTGACCAACTTGAACAGCACGCACGCATACACACATGGCGATTTTTGGAGTAAGGAAGAAAGCCTGCAATGGGGTGAAGTGCATCGCATCATGGTTGCTGTCTTGCACCCACTAAGAGCAAAGCCACGGTGGAGACTCCCTGTGAAGCTTGCTAAGTACGCAGTACTTTGGCCTTTGTACCCAATTTGGCCCCCATAGTTCAAGACCTTTCCTTATTACAAAAGTGCCACACCACAAGTAGTCACCCAAGCTAGCATGTGTCTACCAATCTGCATGGCCTTCATGCTTTCCATGCAATATGATATTTGTTTCCTTTGGAGCATTTGGATGTTGATGTCTGCATGGATTTTGCATCTCCTGGTGGATTGTCACTGGAACCTATTTTTGGCTGCTCGCCATTTGCGTTCGTTGGTTTCTTTAACTTTCGAAGCCTCCTGGCAGGGGCTGCTGGATCTGGCAGACACGCGCATCAACGGCTCCACTCGCAGTGCTGTGATGAAAATCCTGTCCAAGGGCGCCAGTCCTAATGCCTGCTGCAGCGCCTTCGGTGGCGCTGCCCTACACGTCTGCTCCAACTTTGACAACTACATCGTTGCAGAGGCGCTCATCGAAGCAAGGGCCACAGTCGACCTGACGGACGACATTGGGGACACGCCTCTGCACGATGCCGCCATCGTCAATGCCACCAGGTATGAGTGCATGTTCGCTGCCTTGATAGAAAGAGCCAGCCTGATGGATGTTTTGGCTCTCGTTTTGCGTTGTCACGGTCTCAGTCTCAATGCGGCGAGAAAAGCTTGAGTACTGCCTGATATTTTTCCCCAGCATGTCTCTTGGCCCTGGACGTGCCACAATGTATTGTGTTTAGCAGCTCGAATTGTCTGTGGAAACACTGCCCAGTGTCTACCAGTTTACCAAAAGCTCTGTTGTGTCAAGTTGTGAGCAGAAACCATTGCAGCGTTTCAGCCCTTTGATCCCAAATGTCAAGCGAAACAATACGCAGCCTTGGCAACTGCAAGCGATGCTTATCACAGTTGTGTGCGCATTGACATGATTTCTTCATATCTCATTTTGATACTTGGATCGATGTCACTGGCCCCAAGTTGGCGATGCTGCTGAAAGAATCAGGCACAGAGGTGCAGAAGACACTGCTTTGTGTGGTATTTTTATATTCCTTATCTTCACTATCGTTCTGTTTATGGCTTGCATTTGTCAGAATAGCCAATGCATTACACACTGTGAACCATGACAATGCAACAGCAGTGACCGAACTTGCCTGCCGTCACGCTTCGTTCACATTCCAATGTTCTAATTGATTTCAACGCTTCCAGGGTGGCGATGCTGCTTATTGAGGCAGGCGCAGATGTGAATGCCGTGGATGACCTGGGTGAGACGCCCCTGCACCATGCTGCAGAGTGGGGCAGCCTGGAGGTGGCACAGCAGCTGGTGGAGAATGGCGCCAACGTGAAGGCCAAATCCAAAGATGATGTCACCCCACTGGACGTGGCGTGCAAGAACATCTGCACTGGCGATGACAAGAAGGCCTTTGAGGAACTGTTGACAGCCTCCCCTGCCAAGGCTCAAGAGGTGCGGCCAAGGCGCCGTGTAGCAGCTTGCGAAAATGGTACCTTGTCAAGCCGACCATGGGCTGTGTGGGCACGTCTGGGCCATCATCTGGCTTTGGCCGACGCACAGGGATTGGACACACAGTTGATTTTGTTCCCAGTGTGTTCATTTTTGAGTTTTAGACCTCCTGATTTATCTCTGTGCTGTACCCCTTTGGAGTTCGTTCCTGATGGCGCTACTTGTACTGCAGGTCAGCTTCGTCCCTCTACCACCTGCAAACCCACCTAATCAGGTGAGCTGGAGGAACTGACAGATGGGCCGTATTTGTTCATGTGCATGCTGGACATGCGCGAGTGCACTGCCTTAAGTAGGGGGCTGTGTTTCACTCGTGGACTCTGGAGGCAGAGAGAAGGAGACCGTTGTCCTTCAGCTTTTCGCTAGCTGCAGTGTCAGCTCGTTCCCGTGCATGGCCAGAAAGCCAAGGGGAGACAGGGACGGGGGGTTTGAGTTTGGCGGTGGGTATGAGATTCTCTGCTGTTACTTGTCTAGAAGTACTTATTCTTTGTGGCGTTCTGCACGTTGCGGAATGTTCGCCCATGAACAGCGTGTTGTCTTTCCACTGCCGGAATGCCTCCATTACAACCATTCGCTCAGCATTTTTTGTGAAGTGTGTGAGCAATTCGAAGGGTGAAGAAGCCCGCCGGGGATAGCTGTCTACAGTGTACAGTGTGTTATTAATCTGAACATCGCGCGGTAGAAAACACTTCAGGCGGCGACCCCCTCGTTGCGGCTGCTAGTCAGACTGAGAAGCTTCCTTGCATTCCACTAGGAAAAAACAGGTCAGATGGCACAGTCCTGACACGGTCTGCTCAAAATCCTACTGTGTGCCTTCGGCAAATGTGGTCCCAAAACCGCGCATTTAGTACACACATTGACACAGTTTCAACAAAATTTCGACCGTGTACCCTTGGAAACCATGTAGATGACACTGCTTCACAGGGTACACGGTTGAAACTGTGTTAATGTTGTGCTATCTCGTTTCAGATTATGCCAAAGCACGCTGGGCAGGACAGGCTCATCCTAGCTACCAATGAACCAACTTTCCTGGAGTTTGTGCATGTTTCTGTGCATTTTCGATTCCTGTGTGGCATGGGATGGCGCCATTGCACGTTTGCTGAACTTTTCCGTTTTGTGGGGTGTGCAGAATGGCCGACCTGGACCAGTGGGAGGGAGGTGAGGTGAGAGTTCTTCTTTTTTCTGAGCTATGGAGGGTGACCTGTGAAAAGTGTGAGACTGTGCGAACTGGGGGAAGGACTGTGAGTGGCGTTGCGAGGGCTTAGGCAGGGCTGGGGCTTCGCTCCATTTTAACTATGAGGATTTTGCAGTTGAGAGGAGATGCACGCCAATGGCCATGGCTAGCTCATTGGATTTTCTTTGTGGGTGCTGGGATACGTGAACCTTGATATGTCGTGCTTCTCTTGACATTTAATTTATCGACTCGCTGTCAGGATATGCTCATTCAATGCCTTAGTGGCGCTGGCATTTCGTGTGCTTTTAGCTGCTCCTCCCCGTTATTTCCGGTTTTCTGGGTCTCCTATACCCTTTTTTTAGTTTTACATTCAAAACGTATTACACTGTGTCTCCTATATCCTTTGTACGTGTGCCTGTGGGGATCCACCGATGGAGCTATGCCCCAAGCGGCGCTTGCCATGCAGATTTGAGACCTCCCACGAATGGCGATGTCCTGTAATATGTACCCAATCACGTCGCCAGCATCTAGGCGCCTTTATCCTCGATTCGTCATCACTTGTGCCAACGCATAGAGAAATGACGCACGGACAATGCAAGGACACAGATTGGGAATGGCACAGTTTCGTAAGACCCCGTAGGCCACCCTTCTGCCCTTCTGGAGCAGCTCACCCAGTTGCTTTGTTTTCCCCTCTTGGACAGTCCCAACCGCCCGTCCCAATCGTACGGGCTTGAGTGTCCTAAACTACTTGCTTCGAAGGCTTGACCTGAGCTGCAGCACACGACCGTCATTGTGCGATGCTTAGTCATCAGAGCCTGGCAGAAGGATAGAGCTGCTGCGATGCAGGAGGAAGCAGAAGAACAACAACATTTAGAAGAAAGATGCCAGTGCTTGGCCTCGCGACCACAATCGTCGATATCTGCATCTCGTTCCGGCTGTGCTTATTGCCACGAGTAGGCAGCACGGCCGCGCCAAGGCTCTGTGAGGTGTGCGCAAATTGTTCCAGAGTTGCATCTGTGCCAACACCCCGCTGCCTGAGCGTCCATAGCTTGTGTGGCGTGGCCCACTATTTCGCCTGGGTTTTGTGGGATGCCCTGCGCGTTGGCCACCTGCCACGAGGTTGGTGTGCTCCCACTGCAAAGTTTTTTGGTTGGGCACGGGCCTTTGCAATGACTTATTTGTTGGCAGGTGGACAGGCTCCTCCGTTGTAGCAGCGTGCCTCGTGCCATGCATAAGATTTTGGGTTAGGATCCAAGCATTGTAGGGCTCCAGGGTGTACGCACAGATTAATCACCCTCAAGTTCGTTTGGTGAGGAGGGAAGGACTGTCCAGGAATGAGCCATGCATTTGAGCATCCCCCATTTCGCTGACAAGGTTGTGCAGAGGTGAGGGTAAGGGGCTGGGCGGCTGCCGTCCAGCCGTTACCCCTGAGACAGGATGTTCCTCTTGGTCCCGGAGTGGACAGCCAGTGCGAGGGGCGGAGCACCAGAGCAGTGGAGAGGCTTGGGGGTGGCGGGTTTTTGTGCCGTCCGATTGTACAGTAGTTAGCGGCGCCCTGGAATGGGCGCTGCTCTGTCAAATAGCGATTTAAATGATACTGTGTCCAAGTTGACACAAGTAGCACGTCCTGCGCCAATTGGCGCTTTGAAAGTTCTGGTAGTTTGTCGAAGTCTGTCTGCAAGAGTGGCTTGTGTGCCAATTGGCATTGACTTCCGCTCGAGTACACCCGTCTCAGTTCGATACAACGCCTGCCAAGCCGCTGTTGGTTCGCTGCACTGCTACGCAAACGCTGTCATGCTGTGTGGCCAACCGCCATCCTAGGTTTGCTGCGTGGATTCAGGGAGTGCAGGGTTGCACGAAACGGGTCTCATGTGCCAGCGGCATCCCCCTCAAAAAGCTCGCATCGGGCCAGCGAATGGACGTTCGGCTAGCCACTCGGCTGGAAGAGAGGGTTTGTAGGCAAATGGCGGTCACCTATGAACGGAAGAGCGGACGAAACAATCGACGAGTCAAGAATGATGGGACACGGGGGCGTTTGCAGTGTACAGCAAAGCGCATCCACAAACACCAGATTCAAACAAGAGCAGCGGGAAGCTGTCGAGAAAGTGGAGAACGTCTCGTGCCCGGCAACACGCCCCTGCAAGCTTGCATGCCAGCTCGCCTTGCGCCCGTTGCTGCCACTGCCGGCTCCGCGTTCACATCGAACGTATTGGTCCAAGTGTGGTTTCGGCGGCCACAGCGTCATCGCCTGGTGCGTCCTGTTCGTGCTCATGTGTTAGTCGAAAGGATTGCCTTGGCACCCTTGCCTGTTCGGACCACAGTGGATCGTGCCAACCGCACGGGGGCAGGCCGCCAAAGATCCCCCGAAATGCCGATGGATGTCTGCACATGCACACCTTCATATGCAGTGCATTGCGGGCCACACAGAACGGTACCCATGGCCACGATGCTTCTGTTGTCGGTGCTGTAGTCAAGATGAAATGAACATTGGACGCCGAAGCCTGCGATGAAACGAATGTTGAACTCGAACTGGCCATCGCTGGAAATTTGGCTTAGTTTGGATTAATCCCTCACCAACGCCTCCCGCATCGGGCCCCCGCTGGAATCGAGTTCTCAACACTGTTCAACACAGGTTCATTTCGATGGTGACATGTGCAGATGATGTGGTCTCGCAATGCCGAAATGCTGCCCGAGCAGATGGAATGGCCACATCCAGTGCGTCACAAACGGTGGCAGCGAAACTATTCGCCTGTAAGGATCCGACAGTCGGGATCCTGTCAGGATCCTGATATCCTGGGTTGAGTCCTGTTCGGACAGGACTCATCCCGCACCTCTCAAAGGGTCTCTTTGCAACTCGCAGTACACCAACCAGTTGCACCAGCCCCCAGAGTAAGTGGCGCCATCCACGCGCAGCAGATGACTTGTATTGGCTCCGGTCTGTCTCCATGTGCAAACTGCAAGGATCCCAGTAGTTTGGAACTAATCGTGGCGCCAACTACCAGAGAGCTCACGAGTTCCAGCCATGAGTCTCGCTGAAATCATGTCATCTTGCTGTCACGCTATCATGCAGTGCCATCCCCCCGTATCAACACATGCTGACGTCATGCTCTTGCTCAAATAAGGTCCTTGTGCTGTGTTTCACACAGCCGTCATGCAGCAGCTGTACCAAAGACTGCAGAAGAAGACGACTCCGGCAAGAGCAATGCAGCGTCGAATGGATGCCGCGGAAGCTTCTCTCGCTCGGCGCGCTCACCACAGGGGTCGCGTCGCACCGATCACGATCGTTGAATCAGGACGAAGCATCAACGAATCACGATCGTGATCTGAATGATCATTGAGACCGGCGCCATCCGCGCCATCACGTCCCCCACTCCACGCTGCTTCCCCCATGCCCGCTCTGATCCCCACCGCGGTACCCCAGCCCCTCCGTCAAACGCATTCCCCGATCATGACAGGCGACCGGAAGCTCCCCGCGCTGATACGACAGCGACTGGCCCCCGATGGACGGATGGTTGTCTGACTCAGGGCACCAAGGAACGCACACACCTGTGGATGATCTCTCGGTAGCTCGTTTCCTCAGCCGTGTCTCCAAGCCCGTGGCCGTGCCCGGCTCCGACATAGTCCCATCCCGAGCCCAGCGCATCAGCGCGATCTTTCGAGCCCCGCGCGGGCCGCGTCCACCCAAGACCCGCCGGCATGGCCCCCAGTACGTCCCCGCGCCCCGCTCGCCAAACGCGCGTTCCACTCTCTGGGCCCGGGTCGCCGCCTCACGGCTTTGGGCACTGGCGGGTTACACCGTTGGCGGGAGTGACGCCGGCGTTTTCGCGCAGGCTTCAGGGACAGGCATGGCCGCGGGCGCGGGCCAGATGCGGCGCATGGCGGCCGTGGCGCTGGCGATCCTGGCGCTGCAAGGTGCGCGGGCGCGATGTCGATGTTTGGGGCGATGGCATCCGAGGGGGGGGAGTGGCATCGGGGCGGCGGTGATGGCGCGCCGCCGGTTCAAGGGTCTCTGTTGGGCGGGCGAGCGCGAGAGCCGCTCCCGGCGCTGCCATCACGGCGGGCGTCGAGGGAGTCCCCGCTTCGATTTGGATTGCATCCGAGCATCCGAGGAGTCGGGCTCCACGGGTCCCGCGCGATGCCCAGAACTTGTGGGGCAGGCGCAGTCCGGTTGCCTTCCACTCGTCTGCGCCGCCCGAACACCGTGGCGGTTGTGCAGTGAGAGGGGAGAGCGGACGGGTGTGGCACGTTCCAGAGCCGAAGGCCGGAATGTGGGCAGGGCGCGAAAGGCGCGTTGCTGGGATGGCCGGCGTTTGGGAGGAGGAATGAGTCATGGGGGCCTTGCGCACACCTTGGGCCCCTCAGGGCACGAAGGCAGTGGGCCACAGCGGGCGTTCTGACTTCGCTGGCGCGCCGGGGCACTCGTGAGAGTGTGCTTTATGCGCCAGAGTTTGGCACTGCACCCTGGCCCGGGCTTCGCAAGGCATGCAGTGCACTTGCTTAGCATGTTCAGCTATACAAGCTGGAGCACTTGTTGGCCACGAAGCACAGAGCATGGTTGGAGACTCCCCTGGCAGGCGAACCATTGCCGCGCCATCGACTCTCAAGAACTGCGCCTGTTGAGCCTGCACGACGAATAGGCCTCATGCGGGCACACCAGACGAATCTTGCGCAACAGACACGCCAGGAATGCGGGAAGGATGAATTCCATTTGTCGCGCCTGTCGCACAGTGCAAGTCACCCAAGAATTGCACCCTCGAAGTCCAGATTTGGAACTTTACGAATAACAGATAGCGATAGCAGAAAACACCACTGCTGTGACGCCAACTACGAGGCCATGTCGACACCAAGTGGTGCCGTCACCGTCATTTCGATGGCATGAACTTGGCCTTTATGGCAGCAAATGGTAGAATGGTATCGCACTGTCACGTTTGTTGCGAGGAGCTTCTTCACCAGCCTGTGGACGTCCAGTCGCAGAATTCTTTTGTGAGCCTGCGGACTGAACAGTGTTCATTTTGTCTACAAGAATTGGGTGTTTTCTGGATATGAGCTCCGGGTCGTGTCTCCACAGGAATCTTGGAAACATTCGCAAGCCCAACTGGTCGACGCAGAATGCACATGTTGACGACCAACACGGTGAGTTTTCTCATGAACTGGAGAAATTTGCGGAATTCTTGATAACCGTCAATAATGAGGCAGATGAGGCAGATGTGCTTAACGTGCGCCTTCATCCTGAATAGGATTTGAGAAACAAAATTAATTTTTGTATCGGAAATATCATCATGGCGCAACAGTATCAATGCGCTGCCTTCCCAGTGGAACAGCATGAAAGTTGGTGAGCCAGTCTCGAAGAAAGCGGATAACCGCGCAAGGCAGCCAAGAATCTGAAAAATATTGTGATAGGTTTTTGGGCTCAACTGTTGATCTTAGGAAAATGCTAGGGCCTAGCAGCAAAGCATTGGTTACCAATATTATCAAACCATTGATCTGCTGATAGCTTATATAGTATGCCTGGGTCGCCAGTGTCCAATGCCATGTAGTCAGATTCATTTGACTCCTCAATGCTTTACTGAAGTACTTGATAAAGACATTGACCTCAACTTAGTAGCTGCCAAAACGCTGCGTTAAATAATCCGCATTCTGATATTATCATTCAGTTTCAGGTATAAATTTGGACTTGGAAGATTTCCAGTCCAGTACGGGCATACGAGTCCTATAGCATTAACGAAATAGAATCCATCCAGGGCGAATATTGATTTTCTTGTTCGCATTCCTTGACCAGGGTGGCAACGTAACCAGGATAGGGACTACCCCTGATGAGGTAAGATGTCGGATTCTGTAAAATGCAGAATATAACTGAAGTTGAGGTTGTGTAGTTTTTTTCGTATTTTTTTGGTCATCAAGGTCGCTCAGGAGCACATTGACAACATGTTCGCAATTTGCATAGTTGTTGCAAGTGCGCTATGGCATGATCACAGGTGTATGTGGAGTAAATGTCCGTGCCTTATCTGCTGCCCTTAGAGGCGATGCTACAGATATTGAAGTCTTGCGGGCCAGTTTCCTTAACACCACGACGGCCGCTCGTTTAACTCGATTCGGATTCTTTGATTTTAAATATTCCATTCAACCCATTGATCACGGATCGCCTCCTGTTGCGCACAACGGTCCATTGCTATTGTGTATGCACGCTGTATATCTGCACACTGTATATACG